CTTTTGTATGTAGCTGTACAGTTTTCCCAATACCATTTGTTGAAAAGACTGTCTTTTCCCCATTGTATATTGTTGCCTCCACCATCATAGATTAATTGACCAAATAAGTGTGGGTTTATTCCTGAGGCCCCTATTCTGTTCCACTGATATATGTGTCATTTTTATGTCAGGACCATACTGTTTTGGTTACTACGGCTTTGTAGTATGTCTTGAAATCTGCAATTGTGATACCTCCAGTTTTGTTCTTCTTTTTCAATATTGGCTATTTGTGGTCTTCTGTGGTCTCATAAAAATTTGTTCTATTTCTGTGAAAAATGCTGTTTAAATTCAATTACAAATCTGTAAAATGTAAACCCTTTAACCAGAAATTCCACTTTTAAGGGTATCTTATGGAACTATACACCCACACAGAAAGTATATAAGGATTTTCATTACCATATTCTTTATGATCATGAAAAATTGGAAACTTAAAAATCTATAAGTTGCAGAATGGTTAACGAATTTATAGTATATACAAGAGTCCTATGCCATCATTTAAAAATATACAGATCAATATCCTCTGCATTAAAAGATGTTCATATTTTTTATGTGAACAAGGCAAAACTTGCTGAAATGTATAATCTAACCTCATTGTGAAGAAAAATTCTATGTTATTAATTATGTTTTCTAATATCTGTATTAATGGTTTGACATCTTGGGGCCTTGCTGTCTCCCAGCAAAGCAACACCCTGCCCAGGGTTAACTGATTCTTACCTATGGCAAAGGTCTGTACACTAGTCTTTCATATGTAGGCCACCCAATACAGAGTCCACATCCCCCAACCATGGCCTTTAAGCACTTTACCACTCAGGGACACTATTCCCCTGCCCTAAGTACCCAGAACCACTATCAGACAACTTAGGGAAGCTCCTAAACTGTGGAGCTGATGAAATTATTCACACTAGACAATCCTAGACCTGTCTAGCCTGCTTACCCTGTGTCAACACACATTCCTTCCCTTGAACACCACAAAAATTCTTTTACTGACACACAGTTCCCTGCTCTCTCTGCCTGTGACCAATCTTGGTATTCTTTGCTATGGCCCTGCAGGCACCTGCTGTGTCCCTTTCCTCTTGGGAACTGTAACAATCTAATGGGAACTGTCCCCGACCTGTTAGCCTCACCAGACCTAAATAAAATCTACATTTTAACATATACGCATTAAAAAACTCTTCACAAATACAGATAACAGTTATCTTTAGGGAATGCTATTGGGGAGAGCATAATCTATGAGTGGAGAAGACAGGCAAAGGATTGTACTATGTACTGTTCGATTTATTTATTTAAATATTTTATTTATTTATTTTTGAGAGAGAGAGAAGGGGAGAACGAGTGCAGAGAGGGGGCAGAGGGAACAGAGAATCTCAAGCAAACTCTACACTGAGCATGAGCCTGATGCAGGGCTTGATCTCGTGACCCTGAGATCATGATCTGAGCCGAAACCAAGAGCTGGATGCAAAACCAACTGAGCTACCTGGGTGCCCCTGATTGATTGATTGATCTTTTAAAGATTTAATTTATTTGAGAGAGAGCACATGAGTGGGCGGGAGGGACAGAGAGGAAGCCAACTCCTGCTGGTTCCATCCCACTTGTGAAGATCATGATCTAAGCTGAAATCAAGAGTTGGAGGCCCAACTGAGTGAGCCACTGAGGCACCCCTGATTTATTTTTAAAATAGGTATATGTTACTTGTACACTTAATAAATTAGATTCTTTAAAAACCAACCCTATCAATCTCTATATAACCACTGTAGGCCAAGCCATATTAATTTTCTAAAAACACTTTTTAAAATTTTTATTTTTCAAAAATTTTAGAATATTTTTATCTATTTATTTGACAGAGAGAGAGAGCACGTGCACAAGCAGGGAGGAGCAGCAGTGGGAGAAGCAGGCTTCTCCTTACCCGCACCCCCTCCCTCCCCTCCCCCTCCATGTGGGGCTTGGTGTAGGGCTCGATCCGAAAATCTTGGGATCAAGACCTGAGCTGAAGGCAGACACTTAACTGACTGAGCCACCCAGGCGCCCCTAAAAACACTTTTTATTAAACATATTTCTGCCTTTAAATTTTTTTTCTTGTGGGGATGGAAAAAGGTTTTTTCTACCCTCTTAGGATCCCTCGCTGGGTCTGAGAATTAAACTGACAAAGATAGATTAACAGGAGAAAAATATACACATTTATTCATTTATTCAGTTTAAGTTTCACATGACACGGGGGCCTTCATAAGGAAATGACCCAAAGAGACGGTTCTGTGCGTATTTGTGGGAGGTTTGACACAGAGGAATATGATAGGTCGAGGAGTACGAGGTAATTATAGTGAACCAGAGAAAACTTAGTGAGAACTGTTCATTAGGATTCTTTAGGGGTTCCATTGTCTTCAGAGATAAAGATGCTCCATTCCTCCAGGTACAGGGAAGACTCCTTGGCAGGAGGGTTCTATTGACCTGTTTTCAGGAAGAAGGGCTAGGGAGAGGAAGTCAGACTGGCCTTCGTGCTTCTGCTGTTTTCCCAAATTCCTTCAGCTTAAAATATTCAATATGCCAATGTGCCATATTCTGAGGTAGTGTGTCCTATACTCCATAACCTCAAATAAGTGGAATGTGCAGTATTTGTCCTTCTGTGACTAGCTTGTTTCATTTAATATAATGCCCTCAAGGTTTATCCACGCTGTCACCTATGGCAGAGTTTCCATCTCTTTAAAGGCTGAGTAATATCCATCATATACATACCACATTTTCTTTATCCATTCATCTGTGAACATTAAGGTTGTTTGCATATCTTGCAATCCATCTTAATTTCTTATGTTCTACAAAAATGTCAAGTTAACTGATTTTCACTTTTCGATTATCAGCCCCCATCAATGCACTCTTCATGATTACACAGAATGAACTTTTAAAAAAAATCACTCATCAGCTCTTTGATTTCTGGATACTTTGGAGGGATAAATACCTGAAAAAACATGCCCACTATAAAACTAAAGATAATAAACAAGCATCTCTCTTAAATGTTGAATATTTAGCTGAGCTAGCAAGTAATGAAAGGGGATGAAGGAAATATAGGGAGGATGGGAAATAAAGAGAAGCTTGGGAGGGAAGCAGGCACGAGAGTCATGGCGGCTCCAGGACATCTGCTGGTCCCAGGAACTTAGAACCTTTGGTTCTTCGATACTTATGTTGGAAGATGAGAGATAAAAGGACATGGACATGGGTACACACAAGATGGAGTTAGAATATCAGCCTTTGCAGGGGCCAGTTCTCCTCTGTGAAGATGTGACCACAGGCTTGCCCTCATACAATATAAATTGAGGCTTCAATTTATACCGAATGTTCTAAGAAACCACAAGCTGAGAAATTCACAGACATAAATCTTTTCTGGGTGGTATACTGTCAATCCTGGCCTGCAGGATTTCCAGAGGAACACAATCCAAAACTACAGAACACCAGAGAAATCTCCATGAGGGAGGGTCAGTGAAAACAAACAGCAAAGTTGAGGACTTGCTGGTTGAATTTAGAAGCAGAGTATAAAATAAGTATGGGTTAAGAAGTTTAACAACAAACAAACAAACAAACCAAAGCAAGGAGCAGATACTATCCAACAAAAATCCCAGCAGTTTGAAAAAGTAGCAAATAGCCCATCTGAAATAAAAATATCATCCTTGAGGGGCATCTGGCTGGCTCAGTCAGTAAAGCATGCAACTCTTGATCTGGTGGTTTTAAGTTCAAGCCCCATGCTGGATGCAGAGGTTACTTAAAATAAAATCTTTTAAAAAATAAATAAATAGGGATGCCTGAGTGGCTCAGTCCGTTAAGTGTCCTACTCTTGGTTTCAGCTCAGGTCATGATCTCAAGCCCTGCATCAGGCTCTGTGCTCAGCAGGGAGTGTGCTTGAGGTTCCCTCTCCTTCTCTCTCTATCCCTCTGGCTCATGCTTTCTCTCTCTAAAATAAACAAACAAACAAACATAATCCTTGATATTAAAAACTCAATAGATCCACTGAAGAAATATTTGATTTTACAGAAAAAAATAAAGACATTACCTGGAATATGTCATCAAGAGAGAAATCTACCCCCTCCTATTTTTCTCCCCTCCAAAATACCAGAGGGCTGAGACAGAGGATAGAAAGCGTGAAAACACATATGCTTGGGAGTTTAGGAGAGAAGACTTAAGAGAATATAGGACAGTCACAGAAGAGTAACTGAGCACTTTCCAAACTTGAATAAAAGAGATAAATTTGAAATCTGAAAAGCATAACAAATCCTAAGCAAGCTAAATAACAAGAAATCTACATCTAGACCCACTGTAGTGAAACCACAGGGCATAAGGAACACAGGTCTTAAAAACAACAGAAATTTAGATTACTTAAATCCCTCTCCTGCTGAAAAGTCCTCAATGCCTGGTTAAAATTAGGGTAATTCCCCAAATTTCCATCCAAAGGTCATGGTCTGGAGTCTAGAAAACAAGAATGGAAGTGACTAATATGTAGAAGTTCCTAGTCTTCATCACAGTTCAACATGTCTGGCAAGAGTAAGCTACTCTTGATGTTTGATTTTTAAAAAGGGCATTAGATGATGGAAATTTAACTATGTGGATCCAACACTGCCCAAGAAGAAACATGACTGCTCTGGGCCACTAGTGAGGTATGTGCATTATGGTGAAGCAGGGTGACCAGCGCCTGGCTAACACTTCCCTCCACTCTTTCCATTTTCCTTTGCTCTTGCTAGTTCACTAAACAAAAACATCCCACTGATTCACTGTTCATGGATTTTAACCTTTTCCCACTTCATCCTCAGAGACGTTTCTTTCTTGTACGTGTGGGAAAACAAAAAATCAAATTCTGCAACGCAGTTGTGCGCTCCTTTGAGTCCTGACATTTAAGCAACATCTGTGACAGCTGCTTCCTCCGGACAGGTGTTCAGAACCACACAACTCTAGAGGTTAGAAGGTAGGGAAAACACAACATTAAATGTCTTGGAAAAAAATTTTTATTCTCCTTGCCAATAACTCTTTCAACATTTTATTAACTAATGAAAAGTGACAATCAGAAATAATTTGGTTTCATATTGCTTTCAAAAAGTGGTAAGAAAGTAGCTATTTAGAAAAAGGAGGCCTATCAGTTTTTATAAAGCAACACTAGACTCATTATGCAAAATGAGAATCCCATGGAAACACGTGATCAACGCTCAGACTAACAACACACTCAAACAGGCTCTACTCAAACTACAGGTCTCCATTTTCTTTTAGGAGAACCTTTTCTCTCAGGCTCTTCCAGCTCTTCCAGAAGCACTTCATAATAAACAGAAGTCTTGCCAGCTCATTTCTTCAGAGGCTGATGTATGACACCACTGCTACATGTTGTGGTGAGAAGAGGCTCACCCTCTGAGTTGACCTCGTTGAGTTGTGCAAGTCAGGACAGACAAAGCTTAGAGAGGGTCAAGGCAAGCGACAAATGGAAGCCAATGTGAGGCGTGCCTATAATCCACTTTACCTACCCAAGCTGCAAAGTGATTCTGCTTCCCACTTCACAAGACTGGAAAGCTTAACGAGCATGATTCCATATTATTCCTAAAATAATACAATCCTCTGTTTTTTTTTTTTAAAAGTACAGCTAGCTCTTCAAAAATCTCATTTTTAAGACATCATCTGTAAGGGAAGAAAAATAAATGTACTTAATTCAAACACTGATTTTTAACACTGCCATGATGCAAATGCCCAAAACACTGGGCCAGGTTTACAAGCTCCAGAAGACCCCGGCAATAGGGAAAACTGCCTAGGTTTGGTTTCAGGCACAGCAAAAAGGACACCTGCTTTTTCTTCATGTCTTCCCACTCACTGATGGGCTCAGCAATGCCTGAAATAAATTCTGCAGGTGTCCTTTGCCTTCACTATCTGTCATCTTCTTAGGTTGCAAAGGTGCTGGGCTTGTCTCACTATTATTCTGAGGACATGCAAGTCTCCCCAGATATTTCCCCCTCTGCATCAGTGAAGAGATAACACTTTGCCCTGAAAATAGGTTTGAATAAAGGACAAAGGGCACAGGGCATGAGAAGATTAGCTCTCCTACCAACAAATTCAAAATAAATATCTAACAGTGACATTCACCTGACACAAACAACAACCATTTGCCAGATGTCTGTCAGGAAATATTCTGTATGTATAAATGTTAGAGATGTTACCATCTTCTGTGAGCAATACCAGCACATACACACAGATGTCCCCGAATCAACAAACAACAAACTAGCAAAACTTTCACACATGGTTGAATCCACTCCTCTGCTTACTTACTTTTAACCCAGGTTTCTGATCCTAGTCATGTACTTCTCTGGGCTGGCAGCAGTCATCACTGTAGTATAAACTGTGTAGCTGTAAACCATGAGAGGAATTTTTATATACACATCATTGTCTCTAATATTTCAAAGAGGAGGAAAAAATACCAAGCCCTTCCCTCACCCTTGGGACCCAGGAAAATAATACAAACAGAAGCCTGGATATGTCAGAATATTTAAATTTTTTTATTTATTTATGATAGTCACACACACACAGAGAGGGAGAGAGGCAGAGACACAGGCAGAGGGAGAAGCAGGCTCCATGCACCGGGAGCCCGATGTGGGATTCGATCCCGGGTCTCCAGGATCACGCCCTGGGCCAAAGGCAGGCACTAAACCGCTGTGCCACCCAGGGATCCCCACGTCAGAATATTTAAAACTTATAATTCAAGTGATCACAGCGTGTCCTTCCTTTCTATTTTGACAACACTGTGGAAGGCTAGGTTCAAATTGAAAATTCTCAGACTCCTCAGAATTTCACACCATGGCAATGAGGGAGAGCCAGCCATCGGCCATCACCCCTTGCTCTGCCCTACACCACAAGTGGCATGTGTGTGGACACCTCAGACTTTGCATTGAGGCTTCAAGCACAACTCCAGGAAGAAGTCATTCCTTGGCCACCCACCAGGCATGGGATGTCCACGGTGGCTACCCACTGCCATTGGGAGAACACCACGGAGGACCGTGGACCACACAGGCCCTGGAAATAGCTTGGAGCTCTCGAGGCTCTGTACTTGGGCCAGATTCACTGGGCAAATGCTCCTGGTCCAGTGAGGGTTATATCATTTATATCAAGGGAGGGTTAGAGGAAGGCCAGAGTGGAGCCTCGAAAGCTCAGGGTTGAAGTCAGGGGGCCTGTTCACTCAGATCTAAAGATGAAAAGCACAATGTAATTTATTCAACATACTGCATAGCAAGAAACCTGAACATGATCACACGTACATGCATGCACACACACTCAAACCCCTTTTCCTCACTCCATCTACCTCTTGTCCTGGACACTAGCTGGGATGCATGCCCAAAGCTTCTGGAGCTGGGTTGTTGAGGAATAGGAAGAATTAGTGGCCCAAACTGTACACCTGGCTGAAGTCAGCACTATGAGTGCATGCAGAGACTGTCCAAGGGCAATGGAGGTTCCCTGAATGAGGACTTCAGCTACTTATTTACTTTGGTCATAATTCTATTCTCCATTGTTATTTTAATATTTTCTCTGCTTGCAGCCACTTCAGAGAATGTTCAATTGCAGGTGAGTGTAATCTTACAGCACAGCACAAGAGGGCAGCATAGAGCTTTTTTTTTTTTTTTTAAGATTTTACTTATTTATTCATGAGAGACACAGAGAGACAGGTCGGAGACATAGGCAGAGGGGAAAGCAGGCTCCCCGCAGGGAGCCCGATGTGGGGCTGGATCCCGGATTCCAGGATCCCGCACTGGGTGAAAGGCAGACGCTCAACACTGAGCCACCCAGGTGTCCTACCTGTTGAGCTTTCTTTCTGTTAACTTCGCACAGTGAACAGCCTTAGTTGCCAGGAATCATTACAAGCAAAAGGCCTGAGAGTCAGGGATCTGTGTTAATTCTGGCTTAGTGGTGATTATCCTTTAAATGCAGTTCTTTGGGGTGGCTCAGTCAGTGGACATTGGATTCTTGGTGGTGCTCAGGTCAAGATCTCAGGGTCCTGCGATCCAGCCCCACTCAGGTAGGAGTCCGCTTCCTCTCTCTCTCTCTCTCTCTCTCTCTCTCTCTCTCTGCCTCCTCACCCTACCACTGCTCTTGCACTCTCTAATAAACAAATCTTTTTTTTTTAATTTTTTAAATTTTTATTTATTTATGATAGTCACACAGAATGAGAGAGAGAGAGGCAGAGACATAGGCAGAGGGAGAAGCAGGCTCCATGCACCGGGAGCCCGACATGGGATTCGATCCCGGGTCTCCAGGATCGCGCCCTGGGCCAAAGACAGGCGCTAAACCGCTGCGCCACCCAGGGATCCCTAATAAACAAATCTTAAAAAAAAAAAATACAGTTCCTCTTGGATTTTCAGTTACACAACAGAGAAAAATATTACTTGGTTAACTATAATTTCTAACAGTTCTATTTCAACAAAACATTCATATGCCATTTAAACATTCATAGCCTTTAACTCAGTAACCCTACTTCTGGGAATTCAGCCAGGGAAAATAACCCAAAAGTGGGGAGCAGAGAGGGATGTATTAATATGTTTATTTCAGAGTCTTAATAGAGGAAAAATTAACAACTGGAGAATGCTTAAGTCAGTTATACAATATATTTCAATTGGCTATTGGCATACCAATTTTAAATGGTATACCTATTTAAAATTATAAGGGCTGTTCACAGCATTCTTTTAAAAAATATGACAACTATCGGGGCACCTGGGTGCCTCAGTCAGTTAAGCATCTGTCTTCAGCTGAGGTCACAATCTCAGAATCCTGGCTCAACTCATGATCTTAGGGTTCTGGAATCTCAGGCTCAGTAGGGAGTCTGCTTCTCACTCTCCCTCTGCCCCTTCTCCCTGCTTGTGCTTTCTCTTTCTCAAATAAATAAAAATTTTAAAAATATGTAAACAACTATTTTATTTGAATACTAATTTTTAAAAAGACATAGTCATCATTTATATAATTATTTTAAAAACTGTAAGAACACATAAAAGAGAACACTCTTATTTTTAAAATGAATATTAGAAGGGCAAAATTGTGCCCTAATCGGAAAGGATACAGTCAATTGTATGGTGGACCTGGCTCCTACAGGCTCGTGAGAGCTAACTGTTAAAGAAAGTTTAGAAGCCAATCACAAGCTTGAAATAGGCCAGGCAGAAGTATTTACATCATGGAAGTCAATAAATGCTACAACTCAAGGAGGGTCTCTGTTTTGTGTTTTGTGTCGCCCCTGCCCCGGATCCCACCTGCCCCCAACCAAAGAGCTAGCTTACTAGCATAATACTGGGTATCATTTGTTACCCAAGCAGCTCATTTGTTTGAGTGGCTAAGTACTGCCTCATTTGTTTTCCTGTATTGGCTTTTAGAATATTGCTTACAGAATAAATTTTTTAATGTTAATCTTTTTATCAGGCCACACTTACAGAAAAAGCTTTCGAAAGGACCATTGGAAGATATATTCCTATTATGGTATAAAATGAAAAGAACACCACCAGTTTTGGGGCACCTGGGTGGCTCAGTAGGTTAAGCATCAGGTTGTGATTCCAGAGTCCTGGGATGGAGCCCGGCATCCAGCTCCCTGCTCAGTGGGGTGTCTGCTTCTCCCTCTGCCCTTCTCCCTGCTCTTGTTCTCTTTCTCTCTCAAATAAATTAAATCTTAAACACACACACACACACACACACACACACACACACACTTTTGTAAATGTCATAACCGCCAAGGAATCTTAAAGTACCTGTATACTAAAGTTATTCCACAGGCCATCAGGAAAAATGTTTTGTGTTTGTGTAAGAGAGGGTCATTTCAAAGAAAAAGAATCAACTGTGTATTTAAAACTAAAAATTGCGGGATCCCTGGGTGGCGCAGTGGTTTGGCGCCTGCCTTTGGCCCAGAGCGCGATCCTGGAGACCCCGGATTGAATCCCACGTTGGGCTCCCGGTGCATGGAGCCTGCTTCTCCCTCTGCCTATGTCTCTGCCTCTTTCTCTCTCTCTGTGTGACTATCAGAAAATAAATAAAAATTAAAAAAAAAAAACTAAAAATTGCTTGACAGGTTTTGTCTGTATTATACTATTTCCTGAAAAGGTCTATTTTGATATTCTTGCTTTGGAGAAAGCAGATATAAGAATGATAAGAAGGTAGGAAATGCTGGGTTTGGAAATTTACTGAAGTAAAAGAAGGAGATAAAAGTGTTTTGACCTCCAGATGCTTTCTCTTTCATTTTATTAAATTAAACCCCACCTCACTAAGCAAAAGAAGGTGTCTGCACCCCTACAGAGCTGGTCCAAGGTGCAGATAAGGCAATGAAGTAGGACAATGAAGAGCATGCTGTTGGTCTAGTGAGCTTGGCTTTTATGGTGACAGAGGACCTTCAGAGTTTTCTGTACAAGTGTTGTGGCTGCCTCTCAGGCTTAATTAATGTGACAGGAGTAACTATGGCCCAGGGGTTCACGTCAGAAGACCACATGGGTAAAACGCTGGGCTGTAGAGCTATGAAGCCACTGCTCACAGAATGCTACTATCCAGGGCACAGGCTAAGAAAGAAACAATAATTTCCAAGTAGGGTGGTAGCAGAAAGTCCCAGGAAGTTAAAGAGAAGCCAATGGTGTCTAAAGTTTAGTTCTAACAGAGTGAAATTAAGGCGCTCATAACCAGGGCAGGCAGTGCCAATACCAGACTGATTTAGGATGAATAAATCACTGCCCTCCTCCTTCTGTTTTTCTTCATGGACGTCTCACCTGACTTATATTTGTTTATCTGCCCTACCTCTCCTCCTCCCCACTCCCAACCAGTGGAATGCTAGTGCCATGAGAGCAGGGATTTGTTCGTTTCACTGCTGTACCCACAGCACCTTGAAAGCCTGACCTATAGAGGCCCCCAGAACTCTGCTGAGCCGAAGAGTAGGAGAGTGAGTCCCGCAGTCTGGGACCATGTATGAACAGATGTGTTTAGCATGTCACTTACTTGTTATAAACCGGAAACACTGACAAAACCTGCATAGGAAAAAGTCATATTACAAAGACTATTAAAAGGCAGAAGGAATACATGTAGAGTATCTGTAGGAAGAATAAAACCACCTAACACGCTAGTGTGTCTTGGGGTGACAGAGTTGTAAACTTTTGAATCTTTTCTCCTTTTAATAAATGAACATATATTTAACTGTGTCTTTTTTTTAACATGCAGAAAAACTTGGGTGAGGAAGGATGCTTTAACCTATACTGAAAGAAGTTCACAACATGTCATCAGACTTCTTACAAAGGCTTTCAACCAGGTGAAAGTCTAACCCCAACACTTTGCTTTACCACATTTGCCTGATTTCAGAGGAGATTTTTTTTTTAAGCACTATTAACAAAGACATGAAACACCCTGGGTAAAAGCCAGACATCATGGCACCGGGAGTTACCTGGAACAGTGTCTCCAGGCTGAGGTTTGCCTGGCCCGTTGCATTAAGGGCTTTGATGGCAGGCGTCCTGGAAGGAGAAAGGACAAAGGTTACTTGGCACATTATGAAACCCTAAATGCCGCCCGCTCTCATACTGGGAGCCTCAATACAAGGCCCAGCTGTATTATCTCCCTTTCACCGAAGCAGATTCTGGCCCCCAAACACGCTTCTTTTCCAGTCTCAGACCACTGTGGTAAAACGAATTCAACAGTCAGGCCAACGGGCACCATCTGCTCCAGGAAGCTGGGAAGGTGAAAATGTATTGCTACAAAATTAAACGGCTGCCACCAAACACATGGGCAGTAAAGCCAAGGGGAAATACCTAACGACCTGCTGTTTGGGGATGCAGGGACTTATAATTATAAAATGTTCAAAATAAGAAGGGTCAAGGAAAGTCTCTAATTGTTTGTTTGTTTGTTTGGAAATGTTTTCCTTCCAAAAAACTCTTACATAGAAAACCATGAATCTTGTTCTATCCTTTCCTTCTATAGCTGAGTAAACAGAGGCTCAAGAGGCCACCCAGTGAGTCATTAGCAGAGCTAGCGGTGGGATATAGGGCTCCTGATCCTGAGGCCAGGGCCAACCTTACCCTCCAACAGCCAACCAACTGCCAAGAAGACCTCCCCCACACTCTCCACTATACACTTCACTCTCCCATTCTAACCAAGATGTTGGTGAGGGGCCCAGGTACATTTTCTGAGAGGGGGTAGCACCTGTAGTCCTCTCCAGTTCTTGTCATAAAAAGGGCACATTTTCCTGACCCCAAGAAAACACTGTGAACCAGGAAGTGTATAGAGGCCTACCTTCGGTCATCTTTCTTAGGTGCTGGCTTCCAGTGATCATAATTTGTCTCAACTCGGAACCACCTACAAAAGAGCATATCATCTTGTCTTACCCAAGGTCATTTGGCCCATAGCTAAAGAAGAAAAAAACATAAAAACAAAACCAAACTTCTAGTTTCACCAGGTAAAAAACATTATTGATACAAAGTGACCAGAGTTTTAATTCTACTCACGCTCCATTTAAAGGATCTAGAGGCCAAATGTCTGCTGGGCCATTTCTGTTCCTCGTGATGACCACTCCCTCCCGGGGGGACGTACCACCAACAATATAATAAACATCAGCAATAAGGGGAGTCTTGGCTAATTTATAAACAGCTGCTTCAAAGTTTTCCGACTCACTCAGGGTCTGAACAAGAAGACAAAGCTGCATTAGCATAATCACTCATGGCAGTTACTCACATCAATGGATGGACAGATGGTCCAAAACACATTCTCCTGATACATGAAGCCATGGCTACCTTCTTAAACTGCTCTGACCTCATCCTCCTGTCATCAGGGCTCCTGAGATGGAAGAAACCTCAGTGGGGGAGCTGACAGCAGAGGGATTTTTCTCACAAGAGGGAAGAACTGTTGACAAGTTCTGGCCTGGCTCACCAAATATGGGCCATTTGCTTTCTAGGCAGGTCACCTTCATAAAAGATTCTGCACATTTCCTCACGTATTTATTCTTTCAACTGGTACTTTCTTACTTTCTGAAAAACTACTACGTGCTAGGCTCTATGCTGGTGTTGGGACAGAGCAGTGAATCTGACTGACCTGACCCTGTTTACTCTAGACTTCCAAGAGTGACAGGAAGTGGTGACACAATGTAAGAGGTGTAAATAGTGGAAGCAGTTGCTATAAAAGCCATAGCAGGGGAGCCACCCTCACCCAGGGCATCAGGGAAGCATCCCAGGGAGGTATCACATAAGCTGAGCCAAAGGGACAAAGGGAAGTCAGGCTGGTGAGAGTGGGGGTATTGGGCACGGGGGAGGGTAAGACAGTTCTAGCTCAATGGAATAGTTTGGCAAAGGCTTAGAGATGAAAGACAGCATGCTACATCAGAGCAGTGGGCAGAGTGTTCAGACACCCCCAAGGGTTCATGAAGACTCCCAAAGGTCTAGTTAAGGGGACCACTTTCCATTTCTTCAGCTTCCATAGGTGCTCCTTGCTCAAGCTGATTTGCTCAAGAACGTCCTGTGGAACAGTCTGCCCTTTCCACCTGCATCTTCAAAATCACTCTTCACTGCTTTTGGGAAGTTGGTTTTCTGCTCACCCATCCTGAATACTGCTGAGGCACAGTGCCAGCGATGGGAGTAAATTCTAACAAAAGAACAATTCAAAATACTAGTGTCTGCAAAAGTGCCATCAGTCAGCACCATAAACCATCAACCCATGGCAGGACTCCGTGGACTTTTCCCTCACATATACATATTACTGTCAGGGGTGAGGTATTTAGAATCAAATTGGTTTGTTCTGAACTCAGCAAAATTATAAAGTGAGGCAACAGGAGTGATGGAACATCATTTTATGTCATCTATACCATCCTGCAACAGCGATCAAACAATCCGTTTCCTCTAACAGAATTCTGAGAAGAAAGCCAAATGATGTAAGAGACACTGAAGGCAGTGGTGACTTACTTCATTCAGTTGGCAGAGTCAGGGTGAGACATGCACTTTATCTGTCTGGCTCAGGAAGTGATGGAAGTGGGCAGTGACGGCTAATGGGCATAGGATTTCTTTTTAGGGAAATGAAAATGTTCTAAAATTGATTGTAGAGATGGTTGCACAACTCTGACTATACTGAAAACCAGGAAGTTAAATACCTTTTTTTTTTAAAGATTTTATTTATTTATTCATGAGAGACACACACAGAGAGAGAGGTAGAGACACAGGTGAGGGAGAAGCAGGCTCCATGCAGGGAGCCTGACGCGGGACTTGATCCCAGGTCTCCAGGATCAGGCCTTGGGCTCAAGGTGGTGCTAAACCACTGAGCCACCCGGGATGCCCCGAAGTTATATACTTTAAATGGTTGAGTGGTATGGTATGGGAATTGCATGGCATTACACCTCCACTAAAGGTACACCTACCTTATGACCCAGCAATTCCACTCTTAAGCCCTTGCTCAGCTGAAATAGACATACATGTTTACCGAAAGCCTTGTACAAGAATTTCTACAGCAGGCTTATTCATAATGGCCCAAGACTGCAAACAACACAATATCTATCAATAGGAAAATGAATTGTGGCATATTCATACAATGGAATATTCTTCCATAATGAAAACGAACGAGTGAGTGGTACAAACAACATGGGTGAATTTGAAAAGCATTAGGCGGAGTGAAAGAAAGAGTCTGTACTCTAGGATTTCCTTTAGATGTATTCTAAAACAGGCAAACTCATCTGTGGTGACAGAGGTCACAGAGTGGATTCCCTGGAGGAGAGTATGAGAGGAGGTGAGAATTTGGCTACAAGGGAACAGGAGGGAAATGTCCAGGGACTTGGGACATTTGTTCTGTATCTTGTTCCATCAGTGCTTACACAGATGAATAAATGAGTGTGTACAAGTGTCCAGATGCATTGAACTACATTCTTAAGATCTGTGCGTTTCATGGTATGTAAGTTATATCTAAAACATTTAAAAATCATTCTGGCGTGTAGGTTCCCCTTGATAGATTTAAATTCCAGTTTTATTTTTAAATGGCCATATTTGCAACACACTGGATTTTTTGCAGCTTTAAAATCTTATGATAAGGGATCCCTGGGTGGCTCAGCAGTTTGGCACCTGCCTTCGGCCCAGGTCGTGATCCTGGAGACCCGGGATTGAGTCCCACATCGAGCTCCCTGCATGGAGCCTGCTTCTCCCTCTGCCTGTGTCTCCGCCTCTCTCTCTCTCTCTCTCTCTCAATGTGTCTCTCATGAATAAATAAATAAAATCTTAAAAAAAAATCTTATGATGAAAAGTTTTAGAGGTCATCTGAAAAATGCATGAAGGCTACATAGTTTGTCAACAGCTTTAGGAAATTCCCAGGCAAAAAGTTTAGAAGAATTTTAAGTCCAGAGGGACTAAGATAATTTAGAGCAAGACCAAGAAGGGCCTTGCACCAAATGTGGTCAAATTACAGTTTACATGTATGTGCTCTGGAACTCTCTAATAGGTCATGTAAAGCAAACTTTTTGTTCTGTGCAGAATTACTTTCTCATGTCTTTGTTTTGCTAATTTCAACACTTGCAAATGGTGATTCTAAAAGGAGGGTACATTTTTATCTGCAGAAAAGCCTACTGTTATATCTTATCTCAATCAGTTATCAAGATAAGGCTATAGGCTAATGTCTACAATAGCCACACTGTGGAAGGAGGTACAATGTTCTTGACAGAAGAATGGATAAAGAAGATGTGGTCTATGTATACAATGGAATATTACTCAGCCATTAGAAACGACAAATACCCACCATTTGCTTCGACGTGGATGGACCTGAAGGGTATTATGCTGAGTGAAGTAAGTCAATCAGAGAAGGTCAAACATCATATGGTTTCACTCATATGGGGAATATAAGAAATAGTGAAAGGGACTGTAAAGGAAGGAGGGGGAAACTGAGTGGGGAAAAATTAGAGAGGGAGACAAACCATGAGAGACTCCTAACTCTGGGAAACAAAGGGTTGTGGAAGGAAAGGTGGGTGGGTGGTGGGGGGGATAGGGTAGCTGGGTGATGGGCAATGAGGAGGGCAGTTGATGGAATGAGCACTGGGTGTTATACCATGTGTTGACAAATTGAATTTAAATAAAAATAAATAAATTTTTAAAAATTATTTAAGTAAAATATTGAAAAAAAAAAGATAACACTATAGGCTAAAACTGTGGTCTGTAACAAAGATTTTCTCCTTGACCATACTTAGGCTAGGGTCTTCTGAGGCCTTTTCTTGATAAGGCCTTAACTTGGGCCTATTAAGCACTTGAACAAACAGTTCTCACACCTCAAGGCTCCACCCCTTGGGTTACCATCACCCCTCTTCCAGTGCCTGTCTGAGAAAATAAGGCTGCCCAAAGAATTTACTGTTTGTTCCAGCTAACACTTAAAGATAGGGCCTCTGTTTTTCAGTGTCTGCAGGAGGGTAGGAGGCTAATTTTGATAAGCACATTAGCAATCCCAGACAGGTTTTACACGGACAATCCCTCTTTTTCACTTTTTGTAATTTTTAACTTCTCCAACTCCACTGAGAGCCTATTGACACTCCTCTGTATTCCCTCATTCCTCCCCCATTTTTAAAAATATTTTATTTACTTATTCATGAGAGACACACAGAGAGAGGCAGAGATACAGGCAGAGGGAGAAGCAGGCTCCCTGTGGGGGACCTGATGCAGGACTTGATCCCAGGACCAGGGGATCACACCCCGGGCCAAAGGCAGATGCTCAACCAGTGAGCCACCCAGGCACCCCTCTCTCATTCTCCATTTAAAACACCTGGTTGCCTTTGTACAAATCAAAGTTGAGTTCTGTTCACACTGGACACTCTTCCCTACTACAATAGTATACTACTGATTAAAATCTGTCCCCACCACTGATTTCTTTTTATTGAGGTATGACGGACATATAACATTATGCTAGTTTCAGGCATACAATGTAATGGTCCAATATTTGCATATGTTGCAAAATAAGTAAGTCTGGTTAATATCTGTCACCATACATAATTACATTTTTTTTCTGCATGAGAACTTTTAAGATCTACTCTTAAAATCACCATGCTGAACACTATATGCCCACAACTTATTTTATGACTGTAAATTTATAATTTATAACTATTTTTTTATTTTTTTTTTATTTATGATAGTCACACACAGAGAGAGAGAGAGAGAGGCAGAGACACAGGCAAAGGGATAAGCAGGCTCCATGCACTGGGAGCCCGACGCGGGACTCGATCCCGGGTCTCCAGGATCGCACCCTGGGCCAAAGGCAGGCGCCAAACTACTGCGCCACCCAGGGATCCCCAATTTGTAACTATTTAACTCCTTTCCAGCTCTGTTTATCTTTGATACTTATTATCATGAAGGTTGATATGCATTTTGCAAATGCTTAGATGCTTATCCTTTTTAGGAGCTTCTTACATGAAAAATAACATTTTTAAATGAAAGGAAGCATTACAACAGGAGCACATAGAAGATGAAGTCAGGGTGTGGGGGGCTCAACAGTAAAAGTACTCACAGTACGGATAAGCCAGCTGATCGGATAGTGTCTCTGAAAAAGGGCAGCGATCACATTCTCCCACCACCAGCCTTTGTCTGCCGTGTTGAGGGAGAAACAATAAGAATATATATGAATTCTTGCCCAAGTGCCACATTTTAAAGTTCCTTATATCTTATTTCTTCCCCATGGTACAAAATGATGGGAGAGGAAAGTTGTTGGATGAAGAGTGAGTTTACTGGCATAAAGATAAAGCTTTCAAAGACACAGCTTAAACTTCATGGCACCCATAGAAACATATAATTTATATATATACAAATTTCTAGGGATTGGGAAATATTCTGAAATATTCTGCATGTGTATGCACAAACGTTCTGTATTATATATATATATATACAAAAGATATATATATATATATATATATATCTTTTGTTCCTAGAAGCAATGATAATTATGTGAAAGTAAACAATTCTATTAATCATCCCAGGCAAAGCAGAATTATGTAGCTATCAACAGAAGTGGCTCAATAAGGAGTAGGAAGACTAAGAGAATGTGTCTTTCAGAACTTTAGATTTGATTTGGGTTCACATTTTTTTTTTTAAATATGAGTTTACAGTCATTCTCCAAAATTATTTTTTAACATCTTAAAAAAATCTTTGTTGGGGATTTATCTCCAAAGAAATATATTCATCCAAGACATAAGCACTGAGCATTGACTATGTGCCCTATTGTGATTTGGTCCAGATCCTTGGAATTTAACAGCAAAAAGGAGAAATTAGGTGCCATTAAGCAAATAAGATTTTGATAACTATCATAAAGAAAATAAAACAGGATTATACAATTGCAAGTGATGACATTTTTGTCTTTTTGAGAGAAATGTTAAGGATAGCCTCTATGAGTTATAGACATTTGAGCTAAGATGGTTAGAACATCCCAGACAGAAGGCGTTGGTTGGCAGGGCCCTAAGGCAGGGACAAACTTGGTAGATGTCAGAAAAAGAGACACTGGTGCCAGTGGGATGAGGAGGAGACAGGCAAAAATGAGGTGTAGGAGGCGGCCACAGAGCGTTCTCAGGTCAGAGTCAGGAATCTGGACTTGTTTTAAGGGAAATGGAAATTCAATGCAGGTTTTAAACAGGGGAACAACCTGATCATACCAGCTGCTGAGAAGAGAAAGAGGGCAGCCCGGGTGGCTCAGCAGTTTAGCTCCTGCCTTCGGCCTGGGGCGTGATCCTGGACCAGGATCAAGTCCCACGTCAGGCTCCCAGCATGGAGCCTGCTTCTCTCTGCCTATGTCTCTGACTCTCTCTCTCTCTCAAGAATAAATAAATAAAATCTTAAAAAAAAAAAAGAAGAGAAAGAATTATTGGAGGGTGAGACCAGATGAGCCACAACTATAGCAGTGTAGGTGTGACAGCAACTAGCCGAGCAGTGGAGTGGACAGGATGGTCAGAGACAGCCTGGTTTTGGTGGTAGAACTAAGGTCCAGGGAATGAGGAGTCAAAAAATTCTCCTGGTACAATCAGTGCAGTAGAAAGGGGTGCCATATCCTGAGACACGGAAACCCAGGAGAGTAACAGGTGTGGGTAGAGGCAGAGTGAGGGCAAGAAAAAGGGAAAAGAAAAAAGCAAGACGGGATCCCTGGGTGGCGCAGCGGTTTGGCGCCTGCCTTTGGCCCAGGGCGCGATCCTGGAGACCCGGGATCGAATCCCACGTCGGGCTCCCGGTGCATGGAGCCTGCTTCTCCCTCTGCCTGTGTCTCTGCCTCTCTGTCTCTCTCTGTGTGACTATCATGAATAAATAAATAAAATCTTTAAAAAAAAAAAAAAAGAAAAAAGCAAGACATCTGCTTAAGCATGCAAAATGTGAGACACCTAGCAGCCATCAAAGTGGAGAGGCAGAGAAGGCGGCTGGGGCTCCAATGTGGGGCTTAGAGGTCGGGCCTGGAGATGTGACAACGACAGCAAGTGCTCCATGGCCCTTACTCTGCCAGGCACCGCTCTGCTCCACATCTATGAACTGCTTCATCCTCAGGGCAGCCATCATCATCCCCTGCTTTCCAGGTACCTCGGGTGTGGTCGCCACGCTAGCAAGGGACAGCACCAACACTGGAACCAGGCAGGCTGGCTCCCAAGTCTGAGACCTTACCTGCCAGGTGGTTTATTAAGCCTCCCCAAACTGTATGCAATTTGTTGATCCCCCTCATATCCCTACCTTTTCCCAGGGGAGTCAGAGGCCTTGTAGGCACTCTCCATAAGGTCCAGAAACTTAATTGAATATCTTATCTCAACCCAGACATGTTACCTTATTGTTTAGGCATTTTAACTTCATCTTAGCAGACTACAATATAATTGGTTTTCATTAATATAAGGATAAAATAAGTATTTTTTTTTAAATTTTTTTATTTATTTATGATAGTTACAGAGAGAGAGAGAGATGCAGAGACATAGGCAGAGGGAGAAGCAGGCTCCATGCACCGGGAGCCCGACGTGGGATTCGATCCTGGGTCTCCAGGATCGCGCCCCGGGCCAAAGGCAGGCGCCAAACCGCTGCGCCACCCAGGGATCCCATAAAATAAGTATTAAAGTAGCTTGAGGGGTGCCTGGGTGGCTCAGTTGATTAAACATCTGCCTTTGGCTCAGGTCATGATCCCAGGGTCCTGGGATGGAGCCCCACATTAGGCTCCCTGCTCAGTGGGGAGCCTGCTTTTCCCTCTTCCTCTGTGTGCTTAGTCTCTCAAGTAAATAAACAAACAAACAAACAAACAAATATTAAAAAAAAAATCAGTTTGAGAAGTTAAGCATCTGACTCTTGATTCCGGCTCAGGTCATGATCTCAGTGTCCTGAGATCAAGCCTCACATCGGGCTCCATGTTGGGCAAGGAGCCTACTTAAGCTTCTCTCTCTCTCTCTCTCTTCCGTTATTCATCTCCTCTCCCTCTCTTTTAAAAAAAAGAGGGGGGGGCAGTTTGTCAGTATTCAAACTGTCACAGAAAAACTCAATTGTTTTTAAGGATTTTATGTATTTATTTTAGAGAGAAAGTGTGTGCACACAAGCAAGGAGAGGGGCTGAGGGAGGGGGAGAGAATCTCAAGCAGACACCCCACTGAGCACAGACCCTCATGCAGAGTTCCATCTCCCAACCCCAAGATCATGACCTGAGCCAAAATCAAGAATCAGAGCTTAAACAACTGAGCCACCCAGGCGCCCCAACTCAGTTATATTTAAACTGTTTATATCTTAGGTTCTAGTAATCAGTTTGTTAAACAATTTAAGTCACAAAATGACTTAAAGCCCACAAAGTCCAGCTTTTACATATACACTTGTTTACAGACATTCTGTGTAAAACCTCAGTAACTGTCATGCTGTGGTTTGAGTACCATTGGTTGAGAATCAGTCTCACAACAGGGAGCTTGGGTGTCTCAGCTGATTTGGCATCTGACTCTTGATTTCAGCTCAGGTCATGATCTCAGGCTGGTGGGATTGAGCCCCATGTACTGTTCCTCAGTCAGCGGGGAGTCTGCTGGAGGATTCTTTCTCCCTCTGCCCCTCCTCTGTTTGCTCTCTAAAATAAATAAATCTTTAAAAAAGAGATTCAGTCTCACCCACAGCTGACTTTTGAGAAAATGCTGAAGAAATCCATTAGGATAAAGAACTGATTACTGGACACTGATCTATACTCAGCCAGCATCCTCCTGTTAAATCCTTACGTAAAATGATAAGAACAGACCTAACCAAAGGAAACAATGTGAAGTCAATCAAGCGTTCATCTGATGACCAACACTAAACTTTGTCTTTCTCCTTAGCTCAGCTGCAAGTTCTTGAGGACAGAGACAAGGATCTGTGGACTTTTGGGTTTCCTACGACACCATGGAACTGACTGATATTCCCTGAGCTCTGGGAATGGCAGTGGGGTAGTATAACCAACAGAGCAACTGGGCCAGGACCAGGAGATCAGTTTGAGAACCACCTCTCCCACCTGCCAGCTGTCACTTCAGCTCCCAGCCTCAGCTTCCTCCATCAGAGTGAGGTTAACACTGTCAGCCCTGCCTGACAGGACCGTTGTAAAAGTCTAGTGAGAAAACCCAGAACTAAGTCCACAGTACACTATAAAGTACTTTACAGCTGTTGCCTGTACAATGCCATCATGAACCTCTACAATGCTGTGATAGCCTCCTAACAGTCTTCTGCTTCCATGATACCCCAAAACAACCCAATTTCTAAATAGCAGCCAAATTCGTAACTAAAAATATAAATCAGGGGGTGCCTGAGTGGCTCAGTTGGTTAAGCATCTGCCTTGGGCTCAAGTCATGATCCCAGGGTCCTAGGATCAAGCCCACATCCAGCTCCCTGCTGGACGGAGAGCCTGCTTCTGCCTCTCTCTCTGCCTGCTGTTCCCCTTGCTTATGCTCTCTCTCTCTCTTTCTCTCCAATGGATGAATTAAATCCTTAAAAAATAAAAAAATAAAAATATAAATCAGATCTGTTCACTTCCTGGTCTAAAATCCTCCTCAGGCTTTCATTACACTTAAAATCCAAACTCCTTATCATGACCTCCGACTAGACTGGAAGTCCCTGCTACACAGTATAGTAGGTATTCATCTGTATGTTCAGTTGGGGGAGCAAATGAAGTACCTGGATAGAACTGACCAGAAATATGGCTAAAAATGCTCAGGAATTTGTTTTGATTACCTCGTTCATCACCAGAAACTGTAAACTTGTATGGACTCTGACCAGTCCATAATCCTACATAGCCAACAAACGTGGTTCCTGTGAATGCGACCTGAAATCAAGAGATAGGTATCATTTTGCCATTCCCACCAAATATACATTGAAATCATCTGTTTTGTCCCACTCGTGGAATTTTTTCTTATAAGTTCCAACATAATAAAAACTCTTAAAATCTTCTGAAAGGTTTAACCTGGAGGTTCCATTGATAGAAGTCAGTGGGTTGGTGATCTTGAATGGGAAAAAAGGCACATCTTTATTTTCACTCATTTCTAACTAAAACTTCACTTCTTCAGTAACAGATGCACACAAGAAATCCTGTAATCATAGCAGTGCCTATGACTCTGCCACCACAGACATAGCAGATACCTTCACATATATAATGGTATCATACTTATCTTGACATGGTATAATTATGTATCCTGAAATGCCGTTCTTAACTTATCACTACCCTGAAACTACGGTAGTTATTAGATACACGGCTAAGATTTACTGATTGTGTTGAGAAAAAGTGTAATATTGAATTCCAACATAACTGGTTTTTTTTGTAATCTATTCATTTTATGTGTTACAAAACATTCTGAGAAAGGATCATAGGCTTCATCGAAGGGGATCATGCCCCAAAAGATTGAGAAACTCTATGCTAAAAATAGCAAATGGGCTCTGACTAAAAACTTGTGTTGACTTGATTGTAAGAGAAAAAGGTCATGCATCTTGTAAGTTTTGTGAGATAAGAGGAAGTGAGATTGTTTGGCAGTCATAATCAGATTTAAATTTTATATTTATTTATTTTAAAAATATATTTTATTTATTTATTCATGAGAGACAGAGATAGGTAGAGACACAGGCAGAGGGAGAAGCAGGCTGGAGCTCTGGATCACACCCTGACCCAAAGGTGTGGATGGCTACCCAGGCGTCCCCATATTTAAATTTTAAATGTATCTCTTATGTAACCCTCATGGTTATCCCATGAGTTATAGGGACCACTTCCACTTTAAATTAAGGTAATGAGCTCCAATCACACTCTAGCAGTTACTGCAGATACCAGATTTCATTTTTTAAAGAGATACTTAGAATAATGCCTGTTCAATAAAGATTAACCAACACTTTTTATTTTCAGAAACAAACAGACCTGGGCTAATATTTTTCCTTAGAAAGCTATACCTTACATCTGTAATCGTTTTAATCATTTTTTTCTACCTCATCGGGTTGTAAAAATAATTTAAGGTGGCTAAACTACAAAGAAAAAAATGCAGTGGCCTTAGTTTTATAAATGACATTTTCCTAGCTCATTGAGGGCTTCCAGTGAATTCTCCCCATTTCCATTCACGGCAGTAAAATGGGCATAATTCTACGTTGCTGCCAAAGCCTTTACAAAATGTAATTATATGAAGAAAAAAAAATAATTATACTGTCATTTTGTTCACATAATACACTGACGCTCATTTTAGGGTCACTCTTGAAAGGCAGAGCAAATTAAAGTTTGAAAATCAAAATCACATTGTAGTTTCCAAGATATTTTGTACTACATGATTATAGATAATTCTGGGGTATAAGTTACAAGCTCTTTTATCTTGCAGCTCTGAAAAACTGTCTTTATTTCTAAATGTCTGCACTTTCCAGTTGTCTCTGCCAGGTGAGTTAACATAAACCCTTAGCTACAGCAGGAGGCTCTGAATCACCACCGAAGTCTGAGTTTGGGGGGGAAGAAAGCCAGTAAGAGGCCAAAGGCCTGGTTTTGTGGTGGCCTGTGTCAGGCCTCCACCTCTCATCTGGAAAATGAGGATGAAAATGTTGATTTGCGCCCGCCTGGAGGGCCATGGTGAAGATCTAATGAGGAACGGTATGTGAAAATACTTTAAAAATTATGTACAATATTCAAGAATAAGAGATTAATTATGTTGTGGATAACTTCTTCCTAATTTAGCAAAAACAGTCTTGGCCATGAGCCCTCAGCAGAGAGGCACTATTCAAGCGTCCACTGCTGGATTTGGTAATAACTTGAGTACTAAGAGTCAAGCCACACCAGCAGGCTATTTCTTAGGGCCGCTCCAGGACACACAGGGACAAATAAAGCAGTAACAGGGCAAGTTCTAGAGAGAACTGTTGAAATAATTTATTTTTACTGCATTTATTCCTTTGTCAACTTAGAAGAATTTTTGCTTTATTGTAGATAATGGAGGAAAGCACAAAGCAGCCAATGAAAAGGATTACTGTCCCATCATCCAGTAAGAATTGCTAACATTTCAGCAGATTTCCTTTTAGAACATAGCACGCATGGATATTCTGTTGTTACCATTTAAAACCATTTTTAAAATAATTCTTCAGCTACAAACCAAATTGTTAGCAGTGGAGAAGGAATGAAATGAGAAAATGAGAAACTTTCGCCTTAAGTATTTCTGTATAGTTTTAATTTTTTATGAGAAAAAGTTGTTTGTAAAACCAGATGACCAAGTAAGTATTGAATAAATGAGTTTGCAGCATTTGTGGCTCAGCCCCTAAATGCAAAGAACATATGAAATATAGTCCTTATCCTTAAAGTGTCCCCCAAAGCTAAAATCTGGCTTTAGCATGCTGTTTCATGGCAATAACATGCTTTGTGTATTCAATGAACATCGATTAAAGCTGTCTCTTCAGATGCTTACACAGAAATATGAAAATAGTACATATTAGGTTACATTTTTATGATGAAAGTAAAATGATCTCAATATAATTTTTTAAAGATCATACTTAAGAGAGTGCTTTAGGTCAATCATACTTATAGAATGAAGGACCATTTATTAATTTATCAAGCATTTATCATATGCTTTGCATAGATTACTTCATGTAACCTGTATAGCTACCTCCATAAAGTAATGATTAACCTGAGGTGTCACCTGCAAAATGTGTCTGAATAATTTCCCACATTCTTGCAGGAAGTAAGTGACAGAAGCAGAATTCAAACCCAGGACTGTCAGACTTCAAAGCTGGCCATTTCTAGTCATTCCACCATGCAGCCCCGCCCTATTCCAGAAGCAGTCTCAATACGGGAAAGCAGAGAAAGAGCTGACTCACCAGGATAAGTGGGTGACTGAGAGTTCCCTAAGGAAAATTAATTGCTTTCTCTAAGTCGATACTCCATAATAATAAATGACCCTTCTTTCTATGAGCAAAATGGACATAAACCTCTCTTGCAGTTTTGTGTTTTCAGGAGTTGATGTTTTCTGTACCTTAAAGTGATAACACACTTAAGCAGCAGGCCATCCTAGTGATTGCTAACTTTGGTTAGCAAGTCTCTCTGATTTCTGAATCTTATAGTGTACAACTATACCTGCCCATTCTTTATGAATTGCACATCCACGGTCAGCTTGTTCAAGAAATTTTCAAAAGGATAATCCAGATTCCGGCCATGGTAAATGTGGCCTCTGGAGTCTTGAGCCACGATACTGGTGCAGAATCTGAGAGAAGAGAAAAGTACAATGTGAATGAATGAGAAACGTAAGAAAAAGGGAAATGAGTTTTTCGTTTAAGAAATAAAGCCTTGGGCAGCCCCTGTGGCGCAGCGGTTTAGCGCCACCTGCAGCCTAGGGTGTGATCCTGGAAGCCCAGGATCGAGTCCCACGTCAGGCTCCCTGCATGGAGCCTGCTTCTCCCTCTGCCTGTGTCTCTGCCTCTCTTTCTCTCTCTCTGTGTCTCTATGAATAAATAAAAATCTTAAAAAAAAAAAAAAGAAAGAAAGCCTTAAAGTAAAATAAGTCTTCTCCTTATAATGGGTACATATGATAGGTGATCCTTGTGCAAGAATATGGATTCACAATTCAAGATGAAAAGGCATCTGGGTGGCTCAGTGGTTGAGCGTTTGTCTTTGGCTCAGGTCATGGTCCCTGGTCCTGGGATTGAGTCTTGCATCAGGCTCCCTGCAGGGAGCCTGCTCCTTCCTCTGCCAGTGTCTCCACCTCTCTCTCATAAATTAAATAAATCAAATAAATAAATAAATAAATAAATAAATAAATAAATAAATAAATAAAATCTTTAAAAAAAGAAAAGCACAACTGGACACAAACTCATGTGTTCATTCGGTATTATTAGACCGTTGCCCTCAGCACACCTGGCACTGAACACCTACTGAAAGAGAATTTCATCCTAAATTTAAATCTGAAACTGATTCATTCTGGGCTCGGCTAGATCTGTGAGCTTTGCTTATGCCTCAGTTTGGCAGTATGTAGTCTATTTAACACACCACTCAAAGCTAGTTCAAACTCACTTTTCCTCTATGAATTTCTCAGAGCACGTACAATGGCACCAAACCATTCTGTTCCACAAATGTCTCATTTTGTCTCTTTAGGGGCCTGGCACTTACCCTGTCCCTCTCAGGGCTCCCTGCAAAGAGCTAATAAGAGAAAAGGATCCTTTAACAACTCCCAGCTGGGGCACCTGGGTGGCTCAGTCAGTGAAGCATCTGCCTTCAGCTGAGGTCATGATCTCGGGGTCCTGGGATGGAGCCCCGCATCAGGCTTCCAATTCAGCAGGGAATCTGCTTCTTCCTCTCCTTCTGTTCCTCCCCCTGCTCATTCTCTCTCTCTCTCTCTTCCTCAAATAAATAGAAAAAAAATTTTAAAAAGAGGGAGGGAGAGAGAGAGAGAGACAGAGAGGGAGAGACACAGAAACTCCCAGCTGGAAAAAAGTATTTTGAGGAAAAGAGGGAGAGGTTTGTTAAGATAATCCAAGTGTCCATTTCTTCTGAGAATATATAATGCCTTGTAGAAAAATACACATAGCAAGTCCAATTTAGGAAAAGATATGTATATCCACACAAACAAAATTGAGAGAAGTACCCTGATCGTTGTTCTGCACTGTTGGTCATTTCTCAGTAACAAGATTGTGATTAATTTTCTTTATACTTTTCTGCATTTCTAATTTTCTATAATGACTACAGATTATTTTCATAATAAGAGAAAATAAATGTTATCTATTTTTTTTGGTGGTTTAAAAAAGGAAGTTTGGTTTTTTATTTTTTCCAAGATTTCTGGTCTTCCAAGAGTTGATATCAAAGAGGAAGCTGATAAAACACTGGAAGTGGCTAAAGCAAAGTTTGTGGAATCTGAGGATTTTTCAAAACTGGCAAGACGACAATATTTCTATGTCAAGCCAAGCTTTTTGTTTTGTTTTTAAGTAGGCTGCATGCCCAGTCTGGAGCCCAATGTGGGGGCCTGACTTCACAACCCTGTGATCACCTGAGCTGTGATCAAGAGCGAGACACTCAACTGATGGAGCCACCCAGGCGCCCTGTAACCTGAATATTTTAATGTGAGGTAGTCAATAAGCACAGGGAAGAAGAGGGGAGCTGTGGGCTTTAGGGGAGGTGCTGCAGTACACTGGAGACACAGGAACGTTTAGCAGCAGCTCTGACCACTCACCGGGCACCTGACTTTTAGCAAGTTTTTCCCTTCTGAAGCTTGGTTTCTACACAACAGGTAATACTATCATCTCCAGTGCCTGGCACCCAATAGGCTCAATAAAGGATAGGTAGGATTATTCTGATTCAAAAAGCCTTACATCAGATATGTGAACAGAACATTTCCTTTGTTGATCCTAATAGAGTCTGACGGTGCTTTTTTATTGTCAGGCAATTCAATACATATCAAATCCAAATTTTAGAATATTTTTATTAGACCTTTGGCTTCAATCTGCTTGAATACATAGACTCCAGCAAAAAAAAGGTGGAAGTGAAAACTTTTTTTTTTTTAATTGAGAAAGCCACATGTCAGAAGAAGAAAAAGATGGGGGTAGGAGATGAGGAACAGCAGAATTAACTTCCTTCAATTGAAAAGCATGTTAATTTAACAAGTTTGTGTCTTAATAGGGTCTTTAAATACTTCCCTAAAGTGGTAGACACTCAGTGTTTCTTAGCCTATTTTGCCTAGGGGTTCAGGGAAGATACCAGGGGGCCTTCAAGTTGCCTTATTCCAAGAACCTTCTCCCCCCCCACCCCCCAATCATCTTTTGGCAACCAAAAGCTATTACGTATGTTGTTAGATAAGGCTGGTCTGGTGGCAAAACAGTAAGTCCTGAAGGCAGAGGCCAGGTCAAACCTGTCTTACTTCTAGGACCTACTACTGAGCCAATAAGACTTAAGACTCCCCCTGCCCTGTGCCTGGGATCAACCACACATTCTTTAGTGCTTTCACTTCTGTGCCCCCTTTTATCATGCCCACTCTGCCTACCAAGTACTGGCTCAACCCTGGAGGGTATAGGCTTTGAAAGAGAAGTCAGGACCTCTGGCCGTGAAAAACATGGAATAAATGTAGGGGGTACAAATGAATGCTGGGATGACCCTATGCATTATAAGGATGCAGGGTCCCTGGGTTAACTAGAGAGTGGGGTTAGTTCTTAAAACTTTCTGTTAAAGTACATGCTGAGTAGCGTTTGGAAAGTGGGTTACTACCTGGATTGGTGGAGGGAGAAAGAAGGACTTTGGGTAGAGGAAAGGTCAGTGTTGAGGTCAGAGAAGCTGCTTTCCTTCTCGAAGCCCAAGATCTGCTGCTCAGATTTACCCAGAGAGGCAAAGAGGAAGCACAGCACGGGAGGTTTCTGGGCAGCCCAATCACCAAGCTGTTTTTATTACACTCGAGATAGGTCTCGTCCCACCCAGATGTGGCAGGAGTCCCTGGTAACCCCCAGGTGACCCCCGCTAGCTGGACACTCACGCGCTGGACTCGTAAGCCAGGTTGAGGAGCAGGCAGTCGGCCAGGCTGTAGTCCAGGACTTGGCACATGCCGCGGATCTCGTCGGTGAAGGGCTGGGGCAGGAGGCGCGCCAGCTCCCCCACCGCCTTTCCGACCAACGCGTGGACCCACCGGGGGACCTTCTTTCTGGAAACGAAGAACCACGAGGAAGCTGGATCTGGGACCATCGGGGGTTGAGGGGTGCGACTACGTATGGGTGTGGTGGGGTTCCTAAAGCTCTTATCCTTAGGGGTGCTAGGTCCCTCCCGTTCCTAGAGGGCCGTCGGCCCAGGGCCCGCACCAGCCAGCTCGCGGCATCCCGGAGGGAACAAGGAAACTCAGAAGCGGAGGTAGAGCGGGCGAGCAGGGTCCCCGAAGGGGCGGACCCCCGGGAGGCTCGACAGGCCTGCAACGAGTGTGGGCCGCGTTCCCCATTGTGCGCCGAGCGGGCGCCCGACAGCCTGCGCGCCACCCTCGCCCGGGTGGCTGGGGGAAGGGCCGCTCCGATCCTCCTCGGGCCCGACGCTGCCCGGAGAGGAACGAACGCCAGTCCGGGTCGCCGCGCCCTGCACGCCCGAGCTGCGGGCTGGAGGCCGGGGCAGAGCGCGGGACGGTCGCGGAGGGCGGGGCGGGGCGGGGCGGCGGCGGCGGGGCCGGGGCCGGGGTGCCTACGGGTTGCAGGTGCGCGACCCAGACTGCAGGTGGGGTCCCGCGGCCGGCCCGCGCCCGCGCCCGCGCCCGCGCTCACCCGAGGATGTGCGCCATCGTGGCGCGCAGCACGTCCAGGTCGAAGTGCCGCAGCACGGGCAGCCAGCGCAGCTCCGGCGCCGCGTCCAGGCTCACGTTGAAGAGCGGCGGGGCTGGGGGCGACGCGGCGGCCAACACCCCGGCCCCGGCCCAAAGTAGCAGCAGCGCCTGCCCCGAGCGCGCCCCCGGCCCCGCGGCCCGCATGGCTCGGGCTCCGCGGGCTGCGGCGAAGACCGCTGCGGCCAGAGCGCCCGGGGACGCGCATGCGGAGGAAGAGCCGGAGCGGGGCGGGGCGGGGCGGGGCGGGGCGCTGGAGGCGGAGCCCGCGGGGGCCGGGCCCGCCGGGCCCGCCGGGCCTCTCCCGACCGCAGACGCCGGAGAGCGGTGGACACCGCCCCGCACCCGCGAGGCCCGCCCCGTCTCTGCCCCGCGGGGCGCCGGGGGCTGCCGGCCTCGCCGCCGCTCCCGTCTCGCCGCACCCAGAGAGTGCAGCCGCGGCCCGGAGGAGGTTCAAGAAGATGATTTTCGGGGGCGAAGAGGTAGCAGAAAATCCTACCGTTGTAGGAAGAGATCTAGCTCTCCTTTTCCGCCTCATTTGCTTGTCTTTAAAGCCTTTATCTGGATTTTACAAGAATTATTTTCTGTTCAACATTCCTGTCTTTTCAACTGAAAAGAGTTGAAATTTATGTGCCAAATGTTTTTGCTGAGTCTTTCACATTTAACCATCAAAACAAGCCAAAGACAGGTGCAAGTAACTCATCTCCGTTTTCCTTATGGGCAAAATGTGAGGCCTGCAGAGATTCAGTAATTTGACGGATGTCACACCACTGTGGGCCTGCGCTGGCCTCCTGAGCCAGGCTGCAGAATCCAAACTCCACCTTCATAGTCATTAACTTCACCCCTCTCGGTTCCCAATAGCTGGGAGATGGAAAACTTAAGAAAACCACCTGACTCAAGGAGGCTGGGATGTTCTTAATGGCTAGAGCGGTCTCCTGTGGGTAAATGTGTAGAGAAAACTTAGAAGGTTCATTTTTTTCAGGTTTGTTTTTAAGTACGTCTCCCCCTCCTCCACCTCCCCCCCCCCATCATATAGAATACACCACTGGTACCTCTGATGTTATTTTCCCACATTTTTATGGCCTGGATGTCACTGGGCTACGGTTTTAAGTCTCTGCTTCCACTTTTTCCTGGTCTTGGCACAAAATCCCAGTCAAGACCTTGGTCTTAATTTGCTCATTTGCAACAGCTTAAGCCACAGGTGCATTGTGAGAATCACCAAGAGTGCAAACAGATTAAAGAGGTTCACTTGCATTTAAGAAAAGTGACTTCCTGTCACTTTAAGGTTGATATTAAAAAGATAAGAGATTTGTAAAACAACCATCATAAAATGTATTCAATGAACGAATCTACATTGTGGTTTGCCAGGCATTATTCACAAGCTGAGCTTCATAATCTGTATTCCTCTAGTATTAAGAGGTTATACATGCTATAATTTATTTTTTTAAAGATTTTATTTATTTCTTCATGAGAATACAGAGAGAGAGAGAGAGAGAGAGAGAGAGAGAGACAGACAGACAGACACAGGCAGAGGGAGAAGCCGGCTCCATGCTGGGAGCCGGTCGCGGGACTCCATCCCAGGTCTCCAGGATCACACCCCGGGCTGCAGGCGGCGCTAAACCGCTGCGCCACCAGGGCTGCCCTATAGGACGGTTTAAAATAAACATTAAAAGGGAAATCGAGCAGCCCAGGGCTGCCCTATAGGACGGTTTAAAATAAACATTAAAAAGGAAATCGAGCAGCCCAGGGCTGCCCTATAGGACGGTTTAAAATAAACATTAAAAAGGAAATCGAGCAGCCCAGGGCTGCCCTATAGGACGGTTTAAAATAAACATTAAAAGGGAAATCGAGCAGCCCCGGTGGCGCAGCGGTTTAGCGCCGCCTGCAGCCCGGGGTGTGATCCTGGAGACCTGGGATGGAGTCCCGCGACCGGCTCCCAGCATGGAGCCGGCTTCTCCCTCTGCCTGTGTCTCTGCATCTCTTTGTCTCTAAAACTTTTTTTTTTTTAATTTTTTTTAATTTTTTTTTATTTATGATAGTCACAGAGACAGAGAGAGAGGCAGAGACATAGGCAGAGGGAGAAGCAGGCTCCATGCACCGGGAGCCCGATGTGGGATTCGATCCCGGGTCTCCAGGATCGCGCCCTGGGCCAAAGGCAGGCACCAAACCGCTGCGCCACCCAGGGATCCCTCTCTTTGTCTCTAATAAATAAAAACCTCTGTGGAGAATGCACGAAGGTAAATGATTGTGTCAGAAACATGGGACATAATGTTTTTATACTTGCATTTCATTTTGTTCACTTTAAAAACAGTGTGGTAGTTTCAAAAAATAGCCACATACTCTTTAACACTCCTCTCATGCAATGGTGGAGCCTATTTCTTCTCTGAGACTATGGGCTATACTTAATGATTTGCTTCTAATGAATACAATACAGCTTTAGTGGTGGTATCTGGCTTACAAGACCACAAAACACATTGCAGGCATCCTCCTTGCACTATTTGCAGGAGGCCAGCTGTCATGCCCTGAGAACACTAAAGTCCTGTGAAAATGTTCCTGTCTTGAGGAACTGAGACCTTTTACCAAGAATCAGAGAGGAACTGAGCTTTCTTACTAGTAGTCAAACGAATGAGCAATCTTCAAAGTGGGTCCCCCAGCCCCAGCTAAGCCACCCCCAAATTCCTGAACCACAGAAGCTACAGAATAATATTCATTGCTTTAGCAACTAAATTTTGACAAATTGTTATGCAGCAGTAGGTAACTAATACAGACTAATAACACAAGTGGAGTATTACCATCCTGACACCTCAAAATGTAGGCATGGCTTTGGAATGGAGCAGTAGGTGGCAACTGGACGGACTCTGAACAGTATTAGTGAAAGCCTAAAAAGCTCCTGGTATTGGGGATCCCTGGGTGGCTCAGCGGTTTAGCACCTGGTCCAGGGCGTGATCCTGGAGTCCTGGGATCGAGTCCCACATCAGGCTCCCTGCATGGAGCCTGCTTCTCCCTCTGCCTGTGTCTCTGCCTCTCTCTCTCATGAATAAATAAATAAAATCTTAAAAAAAAAAAAATGCTCCTGGAATTGACTATGAGAAGTCTGAGGGCCTTTAAGGAGACTGCCTGTATTAGTTTCAGGGGAAGTGAGGAACATGTACTGGCAACTGGAGAACAGCAGTTGTTACTTAATAGTAGAACATTTAACAACTGTCATCCGCAGTAATACCGAAGGTAGACAATGTAACTGGAGAACAACGCAGCTTTAAAATATTGAAGTTGTCACCTACCTTCTTCCTGCTTATTGTAAAATGTGAGAGAAGCTTAGGACTGTTACAAAGGATCTGGCAAAATGGTGCAGCCACTTTGGAACACAGTTTGGCAATTTTTTACAAAACTAAATATAAACTCTTTGTGTATGATCCAGTAACTGCTCTCCTTGATACTAATCCAAAGGGGTAAAAATTTATGTCCATACCTGAACATAGATGTTTATAACAGCTTTATTCATAACTGCCAAAACCTACAAGCAACCAAGATGTCCTTCAGTAGGTAAATGGATAAACCAACCGTAATATATCCAGAGAATGGAATGTTACATCACTAAAAAGAAATGAACTATCCAAACCATGAAAAAACATGGAGGAAACATAAATACAAACTACTAAATGGAAAAAAAAAAACCCGATATGAAAACAGTAGGTTTTGACTCCAACTGTGACATTCTGCAAAAGGCAAAACGCTAGTAGAAAGACCAGTAGTTGCCAAGGGTCAGGAAGAAAGGGGGGTAAACAAGCAGAGAGGATTGTAGGAGCACTAAAACTACCCTGTATACTGCAATGGTGGACAAATATCATTATACATTTGTCTAGACCATAGAATATACAAAACTAAGAGTGAACCCTAATGTAAACTATGACTTGTGGTGATAATGATGTAGGTTCATCAACTGCAATGATTGCATCACTCTGGTGCACTCAGTTTTGCCATGAACCTAGAACTGCTAAAAAAAAAAAAAAAAAAGTCTATTTAGTGTCTCCTAGGTGGCTCAGTTGGTTGAGCGGTTGACTGTTGGTTTTGGCTTAGGTCATGACCTGAGGATCCTGGGATGGAGCTCTGCCTTGGGCTCTGCACTCAGTTGGGTCTGCTTTAGGATTCTTTCTCCCTCTGCCCCAAAATCCTCCTCCCTGCTCTGTCTCTAAAATAAATAAACCTTCAAATTAAAAATTGGCTATTTTTTAAAATAAGGATCCAGGACTGGTTTTGAAAATTCCCAGACCCAAGGTATATTTGGGTTTATCACAAAGTTTATCACGTAGATGGCACTGGCTATCTGTGGAGATTTGTGTAACATAAGTAACTAACAAAGAATTGGTATCTAGAATATATAAAGATCTCCTACAAATCAATAATAAAAAACACCAAAAAGCTGTAAAAGAAGAACCAAATGACAAAAATCTATGTGAAACAACCTTAACCTCTCTAGTAACTACTGAAATCAAAGTTAAAACAGTGTCATTTTATAAACAACAGAGTATTTCCTCTTGGGCCTTTATTATTCATTTTCTTACATGTGTTATTTGATTATGCTATAAATACTTTTGTTATTTTGTTCCTTTCATTTGTAAGCATTCCCTATTGTAAACATTTTTATGGCTTCAAATTATTCCATCATGCAGATAAATTGTAACTTCATCTCCACACTGAGGTTGGATTGACAAAACAATGAAAGAATTTGCAGAATAAGATTACCACGTAAGAAGTGCCCTACACAAACATTTGTATGGTATTTAAATAGTACAGAATTAGCTGCGCTTTGTTCTTATCTGCATTTTTAAATAAGTACTGACCAAAGATTGTACTAGGAAGAAAAGTTTATTTCCTTATAAAAGAGAAAAAGCTCCATGTCAGTGCCTTACTTTTCTATTCATTTTCAAGATATTTTTAAAATCTCATTAAAAAAAATAAACAATAGTTAATTTTTAGTTTTATTTTATGCTATGAAAGGATGTCACTGATAGAGCCTTATTATTCTTGGTAACAAAGCTTAAAATGTATTTATCTAAAATGGTTTGAAGAACAGAATATTCTAAACAATCTGGGTTGCCATGTGACACTTTAAAGAGATACATTTTCAAAGAATTAGCTAACATTCTCAGAATTCTCAATCAATGAGGTAGGTGGTCTTATATTTACAGAGAGAACTGACTGGAAAAAAAAATCACATATTCAAATACTTGCTGAGCACCTAACATCCTGGGCACTGAACTAGCACTAGTGATAGAGCAGAGAACAGACTGCATTTCATGACTCTGCTGAGATCACATACAAAATACATCAGCATTCTAGAATTACACATCACTTTATACATAAGTTATGAGCCTGGATATGGGAGCTCATCCCTGAAATGGATCCATTCTTAGTACTGACAAAAAAAAAAAAAAAAAATGGAGGGGATCCCTGGGTGGCGCAGCGGTTTGGCGCCTGCCTTTGGCCCAGGGCCCGATCCTGGAGACCTGGGATCGAATCCCACGTCAGGCTCCTGGTGCATGGAGCCTGCTTCTCCCTCTGCCTGTGTCTCTGCCTCTCTCTCTCTCTCTCTCTCTCTGTGACTATCATAAATAAATAAAAATTAAAAAAAAAATGGAGATTGAAAAGCTGATGCTCAGACTCTGATGATCACTTTATGGTAAAAGTGACCCTGAAAGACCACTCTGCCTTTGTTGACAGCATCCAACCTTGTGAAAATCTGATCTTCAAATTTATAGTAAATATTCGCAAGAGAAGATTTCTAAGATTTCCTTTATTAGGAAATTGGGTAGAATTAAGATACTATGCATTCGAGAAATAAGAGTTAAGACTTTCACCTTTTTAAATGAGATATTTTTCTATCTTGCATATAAACCTCAGTTAGAGCAAGGTGAAGCCACAGTAGTACAGAAGTCAGAGCACAGAATGGACTTTGGCCTCCTGGCCTCTAAGTGGAGTGGGAAAGTCCAAAGGAAGGATGACTTCCAGACACCATCACAAGTCATGCAGCAAAGCTGTGAACCCTAGCTGCTATGCCATTTTGAATTTTATTTACCTCTCTTGAGGAGACACCCAGTTCAAAAATGCAAACAAAAGAGAGAGAGAGAGAGAGAGAGAAGTTTCAGGTCTGAAATATTCAAATTTGCACCGGACACTTCCTGTTAAACAATGAAGTTGCTGAAGTTAACTCAGAACTCCTCTCACCAGGCCAGTGTAATTTCAATGTTAAACTTCAAGATTTTCACAACTAATCTCTAGCGAGCTGGGGCATCTTTGGGGAAGGTCACAAAGTTTCAAAATAAAACCAAAGTCTTTTGGACTTGGAGTGGAAAAGTGAACACAGAAAGTGAATAAGAGAAGTAGTTTTCGAAGCTACTTTCTAATTCTGGGTAGACAGAAAATTGCCTTTTACTCTCAAGCAACAATTTTCTCATCTATCACAATATGATCTAGGAAATCAAAGGCAAAAGCATCAGACTACTTCCAAATGCAATGACTTGCAAACAGAGAGGCTGACCATGGCTCTGTGTCCCTTGAAATCCACTCAGACATGCTTAGGGGAGGGAGCCTAACACGGCACTTAACACACACAATAGTACCTATCTGACATTAGGTACCTTTTATTGAGATAAAGCAAACAGCAAGCTAAAAATACTAGAGCATGAAGACAGACTGAGGAAATCAATCTGATTTCTTATTCCTTTATGGTGGCCTAAATGACGAACTAGACACTCTAAGATTCCTATTTATACTTAGGGCAATTTAAAAAGTGAGGTCTTAGCCGAAAAGCCTGTACCTGGCATTCAAAAAAATATGTAAACTTTTTTGGATGGACTAAATTAGACCTAAATTGGCGACATAAAATCTGTACAGCAGGGACCTGTTTTTTAGCAGGTAAGCCTATATACAAGTAAGAATCTCTTACTCTTGTAACATTGTCCTGTTGAGAAAATGTTTAACTCTTATGCCCTGTAGAAGCCTCTGTGACCCCAGAGAAGCACAGACCTATCTTTACTAGAGAACTATTTACACTGCACATAAATACACATACAATACACATCCGCCCCCTCCAATTTGCCAAATAGGCTGTGAATGCCTTTTGTGAGGGGTGATGGCTCATTCATTTTTGTATCTACAGTGACATTTAGTAGGCATCCAACAATATTTTTCTTTGCATGAATGCTAAATGAAAATGCTTTTACAACACCACTACTGGTTACATTCCAAACATTCCCATTACCCAACTCCAAACAGAAATACTAAATTGCTACCAAATTTACTGTGTTTTTCACAATATGGTACCTTCAGGACTTTTTAATGTAAGCATGCTTGATTAACTAATTTTCAAAATAATGATACAAATTTAGCATTCTTCTTGGAATGGAAGACTTGCTCGGAGGTTACTTCATTCTTTTTCTCTTTTTCAAAAGTGCATCTCGTAGTGCCAGCTGGAATGTAAGAAAAAAAAATCTAAACATGGGAAGTTTTGGGTATCCCATTATACCAACAGAATCACTAAATCAACAAATCATCCTGAGATTATTAAGTGTGTGTGTATTGGATAGTAGTCCATGAATTCTCAAGCACCACTTTGATTCCTAGAAATTTTTTAAGATCTCTAGCTTTTGAATTTCAACAAGGTAAGTGTTTTTTGTTTGCTTTGTTAAAGCATTTTTTGGGGTGGAAGTCACCTGATTCTCTAGCTAAATGTTCAAACTATCTGCATTTTATGATTTTAAGGTATTAACTCCTTGTCTTTATTCATATCTGGGAATTGGTACATCTTTGTAGATAGTCAGAATAGCTAAGGGTTAAAGGTATACAAATTAACAAGTTCATTTTAACCTAATTTGTATGGCTGAAGAAGTATTTCTCAGACTCATCTGTCTTATTCTCTCATCTGCAAAATATAAAACCATAGTACCTGCTCATATTGTTCTATACTGATTAATCTAAAAAAATACAAAGCTCTAGAATAGTCAAGGCACGTGGTAAAAACTATATGTTGGATAATGATGTTATAATCCAAGGTTACATGGGTTTAATTCTGCTTATTAAACTTTGTAATAAAGCACAAGCTATCACTACTCTCACACAGATCTCAGTTCCCTTCTCCCTCCAAATGTCACCCTTTGAACATAAGGAACCAGTATATTCTCCTTCCTCTTCCTTTACCTTTCCAAAGGTTTCACTGTAAGATCCTCCTCTCTTTCTCTGCCATATGCTTTACGTTCCTTTTCTAGTCTCAACTTTTTTTTATATTCTATAAATTTGCAGTAAGACCCTATGTACACTTTCAAGGCATGTTAAAGTATCACTGAGGGGGGCAGCCCCGGTGGCGCAGCGGTTTAGTGCCGCCTGCAGCCCAGGGCGTGATCCTGGAGACCCTGGATCGAGTCCCACGTCGGGCTCTCTGCATGGAGCCTGCTTCTCCCTCTGCCTGTGTCTCTGCTACTCTCTCTCTTTCTGCATCTCTATGAATGAATAAATAAATAAAAAATCTTTTAAAAAAATAAAAATAAAGTATCACTGAGGGGTATAAGGGTATGAAATGTGATGCTTTCTCAGAGAGGGCTTAAGGTGCACGAGCTAATAGAAAATATATACTGGTCTCTGCCACTGGTTCCTGGCACAGAACTCCTAAAAGTGGTAATTTCCTAAGTGATAAGGGCATCTTGTTTTAATATTTGTCCTTGACCCTATCCCTGACACAGGGCTCCCCAAACCCCTGTAATTCCTAAGTGATAAGACCACTAGGAGAATATTTTTTTTTCTAATGAGGCAACTAGGTGGGCTGCTGGATGGGGGCTGGCCCAAGAAAGACCTTGGATTTTTGGCAACCCCCACCCCCAACATACACATTTCTCCAGAAGGGGAAAGAGGCTGGAAATGGTATTAATAATTGATCACGTCTATGTGATGAAGCCTTCAAAAAAAAAATCCCTTTACTGTGAGGTTCTGAGAGCTTCCAGGTTAGCGAATACATCTACACCAGGAGGGTAATGTATTCCACTTCTGTCCACAGGGACAGAAGCTTCTGCATTCAGGACCCTCCTAGACCTTGCCCCTATGTATCTCTTCATGTGGCTGTTCATCTGTATCCTTTATCACATCCTTTAATAAACTAGTAAATTTAACCGTTGCCCTGAGTTCCATGAGCAGCTGTGGCAACTTAATGAAACCTAAGGAAAGGGTCACTGGTCAGAAACACAGGTTATCACCTGGGCTTGTGACTGGTTTCTGAAATTTATGTGTGTGTGTGCAATCTCATGGGACTGAGCCCTTAACCTGTGGGATCTGACACTATCTCCACAAAAACAATGTCAGAATTAAATTAAATTGTAGGACACTTAGCCAGCATTACAGAACATTGCATGTATAGGGAAAAAAGACTCTACACATTTGGTGACCATAAATGTCAGAAGTGAAGTGCTCTGTGTGAATAGCAAAAGAAACACACAAAAGTTGGACTGAAATGGGTTGTTCTATTTCAGAATCACAGGTCAGTTTGGGAGATGCTCTAAAGTTGCATGTCCAATACAGTAGTCACTAGTTGCATGTGGCTTCTGGACATTTGAAAAATGGCGAGTCCAAACTGAGATGTGCCACAAATGTAACACACACAGTGGATTTCAAATAGTTCAAAACCAAGAAGGTACAGCATCTCATTAATAATTTTTATACTGATTACATATTGAAATGATACCATTTTGGATGTACTGGGTTAAATAAGATAGAGTGCTAAAATTAATTTCATCTCTTTCTTTTTGCTTTTTCATTCTAAAATTATATATGTGGTTTATATTGAATTTCAATTGGGGAGTGGTAGTCTAGAGTGGAGAGAATAAGAGAAAATTAGAAACCTAGAGTCAAGTTTTATAACTTAGAGACCTTAAAGAAAATATAGGGCAAGGATACATACTAGAAATTCTGATTAATTTCAGGTTCCAAACGGCAAAAAAACTACACGACAAGGGAAAACATTCTTGAGCCAACAAATGCATATGTCTAATGAACTCTTACTCTTAAATAAAAAATTCTTTCATCTTTGAGAGAGAAGTTTCATGATTCAAGGGTTGCTGGCAAGGAACAAAAGCAAGGCTTCCAGATCATGCCAAAAAAAAAATCTCTCCAAAACAACAGAGGAAGTATGGAGTGGGGTCAGTCACAAAATGTAGCAAAACCACAAAAACTTCATAATGAAGGAAGGAAAAAACCATGGTGCAACTCAGTGGTTACTATTCCTCAACCCTAAAATCTTATAAAGGTCTGCTGAAGGATAAGCTAATGGACTGCATCAATTCAACTATGAATTTAAGTTGAATTGATAAAATTCAGATATTTATTTATTATGACTTATTTACGTAATTTAGACAGGGGGGGATAGTAGAGGTGGTGGGGGAGAAGGGGCAGAGGAAGAGAGAGAATCCCAACCAGACTCCCGATGAACAGGTGGGGCTTGAGAGTATGACCTGAGCTGAAATCCAGACTCAGATGCCTAATAAACTGAGCCACTCAAGCAGCCCAAAATACAGATATTTAAAATCTGAAATGGCACCTTCCTTTTCAACTCAATTTTAACAATCTTTATTCAAAATACAGGTCACTTTATTATTTACATAATGTTGCTGGACACAGTTTAGGAACCAGAAAAATGAAATAAGCAGACAGGTAGATTTTAAATGGCACCTTAATTCAGTTAATACTGCCTTGGTGCCCCCACAGATGGAATATTGCCTTGGAAAGCTGGCCATTAACATTCTGGTCTGGCAGGCTCATCCTTGGCTAGCAACTTAGAAATACTGGTATATTCTTGGACTTGACTTTCTGGCCATCCTTCAGAATACATTTACATATATTCTGGTATACTCCCCATAGATAAAAATATGAAAACATGAATTTATTATAATAAATTACTCAAATAAGCAAGCCAACTGAGCAACACAGGACTACACATCAAAGACCATAAATAGATAAAATGAAACTCCCAAAATCTTTAAACATAAAAGCTTTGCAAAAGAGCATGTAAGGAAGGATCATGTTATGTTTCACAGATGCAACATCAATAATTTTAGCAGAGGGAAGACCTTACAGACCATCTTGCTTACACTCTTTTAGTTATAGAGGAAGAAAATGGACTCCCCTTTGGTCACACAGCTGAATCTCAACCACGTCAAATATATAGTTTACATGTCCTCACCACTTTCGACCTCTCCATGCTCTCCAATTATGTTCCCCATTAATCCTAAGACACACATAACACAAGGTCCTGAAGGTACAACTGTCTTAAGAGTAAAGTCTTAAAATGACAACAGTATTCTAACCAATCAAGCTTCAAGTTGAACTCACCTGCTTTTCTCGGAAGGAACGCTTGTTTTTTGACCGGACGTTATGGCTATATCGCATCATCATAAAGTTCTTCTGTTTTTTCTTCTCTTTATTTGTGGAACTGGAAAATGGGTTCATTTTGGTTTTCTTCCTCACAAATTCTTTTCGGTCTGTCTTTCCAGCCTATTAGCACACACACAAAAATACTTCAACAGTTATCTAACCCACAATTGTGTCTCCTCTATGCTAGGCACTCCTATGGATGCCAAGGACAAAAAGATGGAAGGAACTCAGTCCTTGCTCCCCAGGAACTCACTCCAGGCAAGAAATGACCATGATATACTGTAATGGGGCAAGGGAAGCTCAGTGGAAGAAAATGGTGTAATTCAGCCAGTCAGATCAGAGGAGCTTCCTAGAAAGGGAGACTGATGAGCTGTTTTTGGCAGGATGAAGGCATTTGTGGTGGGAGAAAGGAGGGGAAGGGTAGAGGAGTTCAGAAAGTAGGATAAAATATGGGAAGGTGGTGAATAATGAACATAGATTTTTAAATTTATCTAAACACGTTTCAGTACAAATGGAATGCACAGGGTGATATGAAACCAGTACGGGTTGTGCCTAAAACAATAAAGGTATAGACATAAAGCTGAAAAGCTAGGTGGTTGGAAATGTGAGAGATGCGCAATCACACACAGCCATAGCACCTTACCAGAGGCTTTTCTTCAATGACTATAAACATTCCCCTGCTTTCCTAATAACTCGGATAAATGTACTGAGCTTCCCAGATACCAGAACATGACCTAGTGTCTTTCGGTGTTTTGGATGGTGGTTACATGGCTATCAACTTGTTAAAACTCATTTAACAGAACACCTAATACCTGTGCATTTTATTCTGTTAATTATACCTTTATTTAAAACATCAAAATAAAATATTGCCATTCTGTGGCTATTCATTTTATTTCATTTTTTATCTTATTTGCTTTTTGTTTGAGGAAACAGAGAATAATAAGCTTCACTTACCACTGCTGTTGCTAGTCTTGTCTCCTTGTCAGATTTTGGCTTTTTATGAAGGCGTTCAATGTCCCGAAGAGAAAGTAACTCACCCCTGGGGTGAAGAACAAATATAATATGAAACTAGGGTGGAATTCCTTTCCCTAATACTTTCATCATCATGTGAGCTGACTAAAGAAGACCTGGTGTATGTGTTGTTTTACCTGGGCTCCTCATCACTATCTATTTCAATATATTTCCTCTTTTGGGCTTTCCCTGGGGTAGCGTCGAGTTCTTTCCTCATTTGGGCTATGCGGATTTTCTGGAAGTCTTCCTGAGTTAGAACTCGGCTCGTGCTAATGGCTGCAGCTTTGGCTTTCCGCTCCTCCATGGGCATCCTGTTGAGCTTCTTGAACTTGAAACCACACAACAAAAGTTTAGCTCAAGTAAGAGCATAGCTCCCCAATAAAGCCTAGCGTAAATTAGGTCTTAATAAACATCAGAGTTTATGCAAGAGTGATGCGCTTGTACAAGGAAATTTCAGGACTTACTATTTCTTGCTGCTCTTCATCAGAAGAATGATGCACATCAACCCACTCACCATCAGCATCTGCCTCCTCACTGAGACTGGTACTTTCCCACCCATCTGTGAGAAAAACAAGAGATAGTACTATCACTTTATGTTGTGTACTCACAGTAAGTTGAAATAAATCAAGCAAAAGTAAAGTATCAAAGTCAATGGCGTTCTACTGACCAAGAATTGAGCAATATTTATTGTTAAATAAGCCACATCAATTTAACTCATTTATGGAATGGGAAATAAGCACTGACTATGTGTCTACCATGAGCTAAAACCTTATAATTACTTTAACTTTCATGACTCAACAGAAGAGGAACAGACCCTGTAAGTTAGGATGCCTACTCTACTGCTATAAAATGTGGCCTACAATGCACACATTTATGAAAATCATGTCTGAGCCTACAGCTCATGTTCTTTCTATCAAACCATGTACATGAAAATAGCACCTAGACATTTACCTTGGCCTCACAGCAAATGTCTGACAACTTGTCTAAGTGTATTTAAACATGTTTCTTCATGGGGATCTCTGGGTGGCGCAGCGGTTTGGCGCCTGCCTTTGGCCCAGGGCGCGATCCTGGAGACCCAGGATCGAATCCCACATCGGGCTCCCGGTGCATGGAGCCTGCTTCTCCCTCTGCCTATGTCTCTGCGCCTCTCTCTCTCTCTCTATCATAAATAAAAAAAAAAAAAAAGCTTTAAACATGTTTCTTGAAACTAGTCAGAAAGTCATTCAGAGAACTGAAGTCGAATATTCTGGATGTGAAAGAACCTTGCAGACACCTCAGTGAAGAGGCAATATAGTTCTTAATGAAGTCACCACAATAAACTTTTAAAATTACAGACACTTCCAATTTTTCAGTTAGTCCCCATAAGAAAGTGTTTCAGCTTTTCGGTATGGTGTATACACAACCACTCCTGCTGAGGCCCCAACTCTATCTCTAGTCTGGTATCTTGCTATATATCCAATCCTACATTGTAATAGTTTCCTGAATCCTTCAGGGCTTTGCTCATAGTTTGCCTGGAAAATCTCCACTATTCTACCATTCCTCACTTATTATTCAAGATACAGCTCTTGGATCAGCATCTCCAAATCCTTTTTTTTTATTAGATTTATTTATTTATTTATTTGAGAGAGAAAGAGAGCATGCGAGGAGATGGAGGGACAGAGAGAGTGAAACAAGCAGACTCCCCAAAGATCAGGGAGCCTGACACAGGGCTGGATCCCAAGACCCTGATATAATGACCTGGGCTGAAACCAAGAGTCAGACACTTAACTGACTGAGCCTTTTTTGAACCTCTGAGGTACACCTGACTTCTCTCCTGCCCTTCTTCACATTATTCATTATATTAACAAAACTTTTTAAAGCATTATCTGTGAGCTAGCCCCTGACAATGTGAAGATGAATGGTATGGTTCTTGCCCTTGAAGATCTTTCCTAAATAGCTCAGCATTTCAATCATAAATCCTGGTAACACTATTGCTAAGCTATTTATGAAAGATCTTCAAGGGCAGGAACAATTCATCTTTATATCGGCAGAGGCCAGCTCACAGGTAATGCTTTAAAAAGTTTTGTTAATATAATGAATGAATTAGTAAGAAGAAGATAGGACTCCAGCAATCAAGGTAATAAAGGCTAACCCTGGAAATCAGAATGGAGTTTCTCAAGCATTCTTCAATATGTTCAACAAGTGTTCTCCTTCAACAAGGAGAATCTTGGAGGGTTGCTTAGGACTGACCCTCATTGTTTTTTCTAGACAACAAACAAAAAAACCATTGTCTTGTCCAAGTGCTCAGTATGCTCTTGGTAAGGGGTAGCTACCCTGAGGACATGATAAAACATTAACACTATAATGCAAGGTCCCTAAGAGCAGGAACCATGCCCATTTTGATTCCCAAAGCTGGTAATAGTGCTTGGCATACAGTCTTTGCTCAATAAATATCTGTTGAATGAATGTTCAATCAGCATAAAGATTTCAAGGTAAATCCAGTATAGGAGTGATTTTATCTTGAATAATGGTGAAATGAAAATGAACCTTCAACATTTTCAGCATTCTCTTCTTTTCCAACTTCTAGAACTTCTGCTCCTGGAATGTAATCTTTAGCATCTAATTCTCCATATTCTTGCACTCTTGCTTCTATGGAGGCCTCTGTAGGCTTGCCCTAAAGCAAAGAACATTGTTTTGTTTTAAAGATTTATTTGAGAGAGTGCACATGCACAAACATGTGTGCAAGTGGGGGGAGGGGCAGAGGAAGAGAACCCCAAGCAGACTCCCTGCTGAGCATGAACAATGTAAGTAATCAAATGACAAAACACTCCACTTCTGCCTTGGGTCAAAGTAAATCCCTCAGCCAGAACTCTGCCTACTATTTTCTTTCTTCTGATTCGATCAGGAAACCCGGAGTTAGTAGAGAACAATGCTCCAATTCTCAAGTTTTGAGATCACTATCTCTCTCTGTTACATATACACATTTCTCTTTCTTCCCAATTCCAAAGAGGTACTATCTGGCTGAGAAACAGCCTGTTCAAGACTGGCATCAGTTATTGACGGATCTCTGGAATTCCAATCTGTTAACAACGTTAAAAGCTTTCAAGATTAAAGAGCCTGATAGGTCTCTAAGACTCAGTCAGTGTCAAAGAGTACATGCCAACTACAAAATAGTTAAGGCGATGGTATTCACTTCAATTGTATTCTGAGCTTTAAGAATAAAATTAGCAACACTCTTAGTGGAAGCTTTACAAATGCTGAAACTCCTACTGTAGGAAGTTGTTCTCACCTTCTGAGATACGAACCTTTGGATCAACATATGCATGTTTCACCTACCCGGAATTTCTTCTGCAACATCTTAGGATTCAGTGTTCGGAAGAGCTGAATCAAAGTTCTAGCAGACATCATCACATCTACAAAAAACACCTTTAATTAGAAACTCCAGAGCAAAGAGTGTATTGAGAAAAAAAGAGTCATTTGATATTCTTTGATCTACAGAGAATAACATGCATCTTACTCTTATCTCTGTGTGTTTTATACTGAGCTAGGTCTTGGAGAAGTTCTTCAGTCATGGCTAGAGGACATCGAGCTGTTATCTCTTTTATAGCATTGATTCTAAAAAAGGAAAATGAATTTAGAAAGCCCAAACAGCAATCTCAGATGGTTAAATCTAAGAAAGTTTCCTAAAAAGATAAGTCTCAAAAGGTATATAAATTGGGTTTCATAGGGTTTCTAGGGTCAACTGTCCATTAAAAACAGACACACTGCCTCTAGGCACATTCTACATACCCTACTGTCATGACCTCCCCAGAATTCTTGTCGGTGACAAAATTGTTGGCCACAGTCATGAGCACTGACTGAATGATCTGAAATGGAAATAAAAGAAAAGGGATGACTGTTGATAAAATGTCTCTACCTACCCAAACACTTGAGGATGAAGGAACAGTAAACTATTCACAGTAAAACAATCATCTTCAGTTTGGGAGTTGGAAGGAATAGACTGAGGAAGACAAAAATACTTTGGGTTTCAGTCTTCTTGACTATCCTTGGATTAAATTTTGCTTTTAATATTATTTTTCAATATGGATTTTAAAAATTGCTTTGACCCAGGACAATCCCATGCTATTTATTTTATTTATGTTTAAGTAGGCTCCACGCCCATCATGGAGCCCAATGCATGGTTTGAACTCATGGCTCTGAGATTAAGATCTGAGCTGAGATCAAAAGTTGGACACCTATTCAACTGAGCCACCCAGGCACCCCCCAATGCTATTTTAATCAAAGAAAGGAATTATGAGCTTTAAAATATAACCACTATAAAAATTTGCTGATGATTCTTTAATTTACTGATATTTTTGACCTAACAAAAGATTTAAGCAATTAAAGTCAGAATTCTCATCAACTTATCTAAAACGAAGTTTACTTTTCCATAGTAAATGTTTTTTTTTTTTTTTTCAATTTCTGTAACTAAACTGCTGTGTCTATCTCCTTAAGAGTTAGTGTCTCTTCTCATTTTGAAGAAAGAGGAGCAGGAGACAGCAATCCCTGCGGGAAAAGCTACCATGATATACTTAATAGTGGCACTGCTATGCAGACAAAAGTAAGGTTTAAGAGTTCTCACCTCTGGGGGTACTAAGTGATGAGATGCTTGGGCAGCAAACAGAAGGATCTTTGTTACTTCTAAAAATATAAGAGATCAGAAAAATCATAGTCAGTTTATCGTGGTGTCTCTCAGGACTATAGCAAACATGGTAAGCACGTTCTCACCTTATGCTACTGCTGCTTACTCCACCCAGAACAGCCAATCCCCAGAACCCTGCATGGCTCACTCCCTCATTTCCCTCAGGTCCCTGCTCAATTGCTGCCTTGTCAAAATGTCTTTCCTGACATAATCTAAACTAGATCCTGCTCCAGTACTCTGTATTATCTTTATTCTTCCTTTTTCCTCAAAATATGTATCTTCACCTGGACACTGTACACAGAGCACTCTCTGGCTCTCCCTCCAGAATGTAACCTCTATGAAGGAGAGGACATTGCTTTACATTTTCTGTGGAATTCTTAGTGTCTAACTCAGTGTCCAGCCTAGAAATCACTAAGTGAAGAACTACAAACATAAATATATACACATGCTCTCCCTTCAAAGTGGCAGTATATATTAGGAACAAGGCCTCTGGCAAAAGAAGTGAGGTGAATCCTACTTTGCCATTTATTTGCTGAGTGACCCTGTTCTTTTTATTTCTACATCTCATAGGATTAAAGTAAGGATTTGATGAGATGACATTTGTAAAGCACTTAGCACATCACGTGGCTCATATTAGGTATTCAACATGCTGGGTTCCTTCCTATCTTGGTTCAAGTTTAAAGGCAAAAGCAATCATCTCTTCTTTCCTGCTGTTACATTGTTTTTAACTGACAATACACACGAGGGCAATGATAACAGTAAGATAAAATTCTGGTATCTATTACAGTTATAGGTCAGACTTCTTTTTTAGAACTTTCTACTTGTTTATGGTATTACAAAAAGACATGCTTTAAGAATCCAGCTTTTTGTATTCCAAAAATAACTGTTTCTTAAAGTTGATAAGCAGAACAATTAACCCATGACAGACAGTGGAAAAGAAAACATAAGGGTTTCCCTCTGCTTCTCTGAAACAGAGCACACTTTACTCCTAACTCTTTGCCTTTAATAATTCCAAAACAAAAGGCATGGATGGTTATTCTAACCCAAGTTCACCAAAGGAAGTGGGAAGCTTACCTCTTTGGTGGGGCTGCAGAAATCTTTGTACGAAGGGATAGAAGTTGAAGAGAAAAAGCTGTGGAACAAAGAATGCACAGACTTTTATTTATGTAACTCAAGCTGTAGAGTTTTATTTCTCCTTAACGCAATTTTATCACCAAGCTCAACTAACTAGGGGCCACTTTTTACTTTTGTTTTCCTCAACAAGCATTCATTATTCAATGTGCTGTATTACCCAAGGAAAGGGAGGCTGTGCAGCTGCCATTCTCATGGTAAGGAAGAAAAACGTACATGCAGAATAAACCAAGGGGAAAAGAGGCAACCAAAATGTAACATTTCTACTTTTAAAATTGGTGTGGCTACAGAGATAACTTTAAGCCTTCAAAGATAAAGAGGATTATGGATTATAGAAGGGATAGCAATGATATTAAGGATCCAAAGCAAGGCATAGAATAGTAACTCAAAATCTGAATAGCACCCAGTATTATTTAATCACCAAAGCCCCAACAGTTCTCATTTCATTACTGGACACCAGTCCACAATCACACTCGATATACTCCAAGCTCTATGTTTGACCGAGAAAACACTAGCACTCTGGAGTCTACATAAATAAAGGTGACAGCATCTAGTTATTAAAGAAACTGTATTTTTTTTTTTTTAGTTGTAGTTGACGTATATTAGTTGCAGGTTTTACAGCATAGTGATTTGACATTAATATACATTACAAAACGTTCACTGAAGCAGCTGTAATCTTTTAACAAGGAGAGAAACTTTGGAAATGGACTGGTCCTTCCCAAAGTTCAACATGTCAGAATCAATTATTTTTTTCTATTTAGCCACAAAGCAAAACCATGATCATACAAGTAATAAGGAAGATTCAGGTTCAATATAAAGATGGATGCTCAACTACAGTCAGTTGTGAAGCTCTAACATCATTTCAATCAAACCATGCTTAAATTACACATCACTTTTGCTTTCCTATCAAGCTTAAATTCAGGCCTGACATGATATTTTTGCACAAATATAACATAAATTGACCTGGTAATCCTGCTGTGGGACTACAGCTCATGGAGAAAAAGTATCTTATTCTTTAAGATATTAAGTTTTACTTAGAAAAAGGGGACAAGTGTTTTCAATCCATATACTTTCATTTTTAATTGAATACATATTGACACTGCTAGATTTTCAGTAAGCAAGCTTATTTTATTTTTTTTCTTTAAATAAACTTTTTGAATGGGGTGCCTGGCTGGCTCAGTTGGAAGAGCATGCAACTCTTGATCTCAGGGTCACGAGTTCAAGCCCCATGTTGGGCATGATTACATAAGAATCAATCAATCAATCAATCAATTAAACTTTAAAAAATAAAAAAATCTTTTGAAGAAAGCAATACATTTAATGACATACAGAGCAGCACGTCTCCAGAGCAAAATGATACAGAACAACCTCAATGGCCATTTCTTCATGGCCTCATTTTTTGGAAATCTCTTTTTCTACAATGTCAGTGAGTCCATGAGTATGTGCGAAGTTTCCACTATGTACACACTATACAGATATATATATATATATATATATACACACATATGTACGCATATCTGTGTGTGTGTATATATACAGCATAGTGATTTGACATATATACACACACACACACACACACACACACACACACACACACACACACACACATTATACCACCAAGGATCTCCTACAATTTAATTCAAAATGAAATAAATGACCAGGAAATTCAGCTTTGCAAACAATGATAATCTCCTACCAGAGGTCTGGAAGTCAGGAAAGCTATAAAGGAATAAACACACTGCAAAATGTAGTAATAGTCAATAAAAATACACGGATTATGTTGGCTCAGAAAAATGTATATGTAAAACAACTAGAAAAATAGAACACAAAATAGTCTGTCCATAAATTGAATATATGTACAATTTAACATCCATACTTACTGATAAAAAAACAAAGTGATAAAAATTGCTATTTTGGAGTGAAAGATTTTATTCTTCTATAAACTGTATAGGTTTAAATAGTTTCGAGGGATAAAATTAAGCCATTGTTCTACCTTAGTGGCTTTCCTTTCACCAAGAATTCTAATATTCACTAAAATGAGAAACATAATGTAATTCGAACCTCATGAATTCCCACCAATCTGGAGATGAGGTTCATGAGCATCATTTTCACCTCAAACCTCTCCGTAGAGCTCTCTAGTTGTTTTAATAATTTTTCTGCAAAATCTGGAAAGAAGATCAGAGAAGTACACTGTGTAAGTCCATGGTCTGTATAACATTATCCAACAGGTGTAGAAAGGGCAGTCATTAGATCAGTGACTGCGTACCTGGAATCATTCTGCTGAACCAGGATGTTAAGAACAGCAGCATCACAGATGAAAAGATTCACACACAGGTAAATGTACTTTCAATGGTGCCCAAAGTTAAGTCTTAAGGATCTCCAAGATTTTTAGCATCAACATCTTGAGTGACTGACAGGAGCTCCACTTAACAGTTCTCAGAGCCTTGCTTCTCAAAGTGTGGTCCACAGACCACTACCAGCTGGTAGCTTGCTAGAAATATAGAATCTCAGGCCCCCCTCCCTCCGCAGACCTACTAAATCAGAATCTTCACCAACAAAAGAGATTCAATTTTTCATTTACTCAAGCACAATGTCCTACCACTACTGTGTTGTTAATGACATGAAGTAAAGAAGTATTCTTCCACATTTTTCTTATTTTGCTGTGGACTGGGAATTATAACTTCAGAACATAATTCCCCCAGGCTACAACCAACTAATAACAACTAAACAATTACTGGTTGTCTATTAAGTGCTACGGATCTTATATTCCCTGGTCACAAGCAGAGATAAAGCCAAAAAGGAATTTGGGAAGTCATAATTATAATACCTTGGGGATCATGAATCAGATGAATAGCTGAAAAGTTAAACACCTCTGGTTTCTTCTTCTTTTTTTGTTTCTGAAATAAAACGAAAGGAAAAACATTTACATTATGCCACACTACTGGGGGAGGTGAACCTACAACAAATTTGTTTTCAAAATCTTTCAACTAGGACTAAAGGTGGTTTTAGTCTTTTAACATTAAACCTCAGTAATGTTTCAGCACATAGCACCTGTGAGACTGCAAGGAATTTAGAAACAAACTATACAAAACAGAGAAGGGCCAAATTGATGAGTTTTCAGACTAAACATTACAGAATATAAAATGTATTTCATTGGTGTACTCTTCTGAGAAGATAAGTCTAGCAAAAATACCCTAATATAGGTCATCTTGATCCGAACAAGTAAAAACTGAATTTAATCAATTTATTCAAGTCACAGATTTTGTTAGAACTGAAAACATTTCATCATTAAAAAAAAAACCAGTACTTAAAAATTTATCACACATTTCTAAGTCTTTCAAAAATGTCATTTCTTTATTTCAAATTCTAAACAGCTTTTGTTGAAAATTCCATATTCTGTAGTCTAATGATTCCTATCTCATCTTCCAGGTACAAGCCTCACCTTGAGCACTTTCATAGCCTTTTCCAACCTTTTCTTGTTTTTGGAGCTTTTCTTCCCCGTGGCATATTGCACTAGCAGGTCTCTTGCTGTTGGTCCTTCATCCTGAAGAAGAAACTACTTTGTAAGCAAGGAAAATCTGCATAGAAGCAAATAGTAAGTCTTTTAAAGTCTTTTTTGTACTTACGCAATCACTAACAAAAATGAGTATGACTTCAAATTAAAAAAAAAAAAAAACTTGCCTACGTGTACAAAGATTTTCACTGCAGCACTGATTTTTGTTTTTATATTTTGCTTTTATCAAAGTATAGTATATACTTTTATCAAAGTATAGAATACAATTTTGTTTTTATTTGAAAAAAGAAACTGGAAACAGTATCATTAGGAAAATGCTTAAGCTATATAATACATTCATATTCTGAAATAAATAGAAGTTAAAAAAAATGAGGTATGTGCTAATAGAAGATGACCTAACTGCATTGGTATAATCTATATATATGACACAAAAAAAATCAGGTTGCAGCATAATACACATCTTATTAATATATACTTCAAAGATCTAATATACACACAACATATACACACATCCACATATAAATGTCTGGGAAGCAAAATGGTTATCTGTGAAGATGGAACTGGGAAGTAGAAATAAGATAGGATCAAGAAATCTTTAATTTTATCTATAGTATCTGTAAATTTCTGGCAATAAGAATATATTATTCACACATTATTATTATTATTTTAAGATTTTATTTATTTATTCAGGAGAGACACAGAGAGAGAGGCAGAGGCACAGGCAGAGGGAGAAGCAGGCTCCATGCAGGGAGCCCGACGCAGGACTCGATCCCAGGTTGCCAGGATCACATCCTGGACCAAAGGCAGCGCTAAACCGCTGAGCTACCTGGGCTGCCCTTCACACATTATTTAATAACATTATTAAAAGAGCTTATTACATATTCCAGTATTCTTGTTACCAGAGGGAAGGATTTTTTTTTATTTTAGTAAAAAATACTTTTTAATAGAGAAAATTTCATGATATCATAAATATTCATTTTGCCTTTTTAAAGATGTCACAATATTATTCCTCTCCTTCTCTAAATACTATAATACTGACATCATCTCAAAAAAATATGCTGGTGGCAATTTTCATTCTAAGTTTATTATAGTGAGTTAAAGGTATAGCTTTAGAACGAAGAACAAGGCTAAATGAATCTTTTATTAGTTCTGTAACCAATCTCAGCGAATGTTAAGTGACAAATTCTAAACAGAATAAAGTCTCAGCATGGCAGAACACAATAAAGGACAAAGGTATCATGTAAGTTTCTTTCTAACTTGAGAAGTCATGGATTTTATAATCTGTACCAACAGTAATAATGAAATCAGATAGACTACTGTAAAGTTCAGAAGCATCTATGGTTGAATGTTTAACCTCGGATTCTGAGTCGCTGTCCTGTTTCTCCTCTTCATCTTTCCCAAGGAAAAATGTCAAAGCAGCAACTAATATCTAAAGACCAATAAGAACAAAGTTAATCACTTATCCTGGCTTACAACGAAGAATAAATACTTTTGTTTATGCATTATTCATGCACAGAACTAGGATCCGAAGGAACAGAATTAGACTGGTGGGATTTGGGTACATTTTTCTCAAGAAATTTTTTCTAAAGATTTTATTTATTTGAGAGTGTGCGCAAGAAAGAGAGCACCACTGTGGGTAGGGGCAGAGGGAGAGGAAGAGGGAGGCTCCCTGCTGAGCAGGGAGCCCAATGTGGGCCTTGATCCTGGAACCCTAGGATCACGACCTGAGCTGAAAGCAGACACTTAACTGAGTCACCCAAAGCCCCTCATTTTTCCTAATTAAAACATAACGTTGTCATAGCATTTTTTGTCCTGAAAGTGTATATAATTTAAAAAGTTATTTTTAGATAAAAACAGCCAGGCTCTACATAGTTATCCTTTAAATAGACTGCCAGGAATTTCTACATCCCAACCCAAGCTCTGAAAAGTGACATTGAAGCCTTTCTAACGGAAAGTCAAACACGTTCTTAAATTTCTTTCAGCTATGCTGGGCCCTTAAAAGAATAGTCAAACACTAAGGCTATCATTTAATACAAAGCATTTAAAAAACTCCTAACTTTGGCCCTTCTAAAGCACAGGTGAACCAGGAAAGCAGCCTAAACACAAAGAGAGCTTTACTAAACATGAACTGCATGCCCATACAGTACCTCTTGTTCATATGCCCATCTTCTTACACCTTCCATTTGGAGAACTGGGACTACTCAAGACAGTGCCTTCACATAGCCCTATAGACACTCACCTTGGTGACCTTAGAGAAACATGCAGTTGTGATCACATTGACAGTTTTGGCATCATTCCTGGGGTAAGACAAATGAGTGTTTCAAAGTAAATTCATTCTATTGCATTTCATAGCACTGACAATGGCGCAAAATATATTTCCAACATGTTAGACTCCATAGTATAAAAAAGTTGTGAGTTGCAATAAGTAAGTAAATAAATAAATAGTCATGGATTGCTAAAAAACACCACAGATCACTAAATTGTCAACCTTAGGTAAACATTTAATTCAACATTAGCCCAGCCTATGTCAGAAAATTATGCAGCCATTTAATATGGATTTTTTTGAAGAATTTTTAATGACACAGGAAATCTACTGAAGACAAGAGAAACAAAAAATAGAAACTTAATAGTATTGCAAAATTGCAACCATATTTAAGAATTCATGTTAAAGGGGGCATCTGTTAAGTGGCTGGCTCTTGATTTCAGCTGAGGTCATGATCTCAGGGTCCTGGGATCAAGCCCCATCTGGAGCTCAGGGGGAGTCTGTTTGAGGATTTCCCTCTCCCTCTGATCCTCTCCCTGCTTTGTGTGTGCATATGCTCCTCTCTCTTTCAAATAAATAAATCTTTAAAAAATTCACATTTAAGAAAAAGCAAGGGATCCCTGGGTGGCGCAGCGGTTTGGCGCCTGCCTTTGGCCCAGGGCGTGATCCTGGAGACCCAGGATCGAATCCCACATCGGGCTCCCTGCATGGAGCCTGCTTCTCCCTCTGCCTGTGTCTCTGCCTCTCTCTCTCTCTCTGTGACTATCATAAATAAAAAAAAAAAAAAAAAAACTTAAAAAAAAAAATTAAAAAAAAAAAAAAAAGAAAAAGCAAGAAAATATCATAAGCTATCAACAGTGATTGATTATCTCTGGGTGGTAAAACTATCAAAAAGTTAAAAAAAAACACTTTCTAGCTTCTTCCATTTTTTTTTTTTTTTTGCAATAAGTATTACTTTAATAGTAAAAAAAAATAGTGAATAAGAAAAGCAAAAGACATGAATTGGGAGCAAAGTACCAACAAATCAAAGTTTACAGAATGTGATACTTTATATACATGGGATAAACTAATGTAAAAATCTTCAAAGTGACAGAGTAGAAAGTGCACAGAATTCAGAGTCTGATATCTGGATTTGAATTTCAGCTCTACCCTTGACTAGCAACTAAGCTTACACTATATGAACTTCAGTTTTGTTACCTATGAAACAGGGATAATTCCAGATAACCTGCATTATATTGTTCTAAAGGTTGAATGAGGTATTATGAGGTGTAAGTGGCTCAAGAAATGGTAGCCAATGTTATTAGTTTTTGGATTGCTCTCTATTTTTAATTCCAACTTAATCTATAAGAGAAGTATATTAAAGAGCTCAAAATCCAGAAAATATTTGTGTATGTACTCTGTAGTAATGGGTCTTCAAGAGACAAATACATATATATATTACCAGATGTTTCTTCTGTAGAGTTCAATCATCACATCCAAAGATATCTTGGCTGCAGTTGCATTGCTATCTCTTAACATGGTGTACATGAAATTCTGCAACACCTAAAGAAAAAGAGGAGAAGACAATATGATACATTGCTGGTACATGCTGCAAACATGGAAAACAAAAGAGTACTTACAATATTCACTTTATTGTTCTTGTGTTTTGCATTTATATTCTTGATATCAGTGACAATATGTGTGTATAAAGTCTGAGGAAAAGAAACAAAAACATACAAATATTAATTAACATTTCTAACCTTGCTCAGTTTGGAGCAAAGTACAAAAGTATGGGAGAATTTAATCTTACCTACTTTTCATTCTATAACAAGATACCATAAACAAAACAAAAGCAGCAGCTAAAATACAAAAGTTGCCCTGAAAATGTTAAACAAAGAGCTACCATATAACCCAACAATTCCACCTCTAGTTATATATCCAAGAAAAATGATAGTTCCAAACCAATATCCACACAAATATTCACAGCAGCATTATCCATAATAGCTAAAAAGTGGAAACAACTGTCCATTCACCAATAAATGGACAAAATATGGTATACCCATATAACGGAATATTATTTGGCAACAAAAAGGAATGAAGCGTTGATACATGCAATAACATAGATGAACCCTGAAAGAATGATGCTAAGTGAAAGAAGCCAGACACAAATATTATGTATTGCGTGATTCCATTTATATGAAATACCCAGAGAAGACAAATCTATAGAGGCCAAAAGTAGACTGATGGCTACACAGGCCAGACAGAGATGGGTAAATGGGGAGGGAATGCAAATGGGTACGGGGTTTCTTTTTGAGGGGGGATAAAAATATTCCAAAATTGATTGTGGTGATGGTTGCAAATTCTGTGAATATACTAAAAACCACTGAACTGTGTATTTTTTTTTAATTATTTATTTATTTATTGATGATAGTCATACAGAGAGAGAGAGAGGCAGAGACACAGGCAGAGGGAGAAGCAGGCTCCATGCACCGGGAGCCTGACGTGGGATTCGATCCCGGGTCTCCAGGATCACGCCCTGGGCCAAAGGCAGGCGCCAAACCGCTGCGCCACCCAGGGATCCCCTGAACTGTGTATTTTCAATAAATGAATTGCATGTGAATTATATCACAATAAAGTTATTCAAAAAAAGGAAAGTTGCTCCATTTACTTAGCCCCCACCCAGTATACAAATAACCACTGGTGACCAAAATATGGTTCCATAGACAACTTTTATCCTACAGTTAGAATCAAGAAGTTCACAATTGCTAAAATCAAGAGGTGGCAGTCTCTTAACACTTGGGAAAAAGAAAATTTTTTTAAGTTAATAAATATAAGCTTAAATTTTTCTTCCTTAAATTTCTTTCACAAACCTTCGGCTTCTGGTCTTACTTATAAAAGCAAACACCAAATCACAGGGAAATATTTAATAACAAAAAAAAAAGTGTTTTGGGAAATAGTGTGGGGGCTTTTATAGCTATGAGTGTCCAGTCTGTGCTCTGATTTAGCTAGTCAGTATAGCACAGTTGAAAAAGGCACGGGTTCTGGAGATACAATACGTGGGTTTATATTCCTGCCCTCCCACTAACATGTCCCATGATTCAGGGTATCTCATTCTACTTCTTTGTGCCTCAGCCTTTTCATCTCTAAAATAATGGTAACAAAAAACCCTAGTGCATTTTGTGAGTAAATAGATGAACATCTAAGAATCTCTGAATGGTACCTGGTAAAAAGTAAGCACTCAATAAATGTTATTAGCTATTAGCACTATATTGCATGCACACAAGTGTTGATTTTTTTCCTGTTAAAATTATTTTTAACTGTATCCAATAACATCAAGAATTCAATCTACAAGTTTAATGTCACTGCATGGAAAAGTGAAAAATAAGGGGTGAAAAAGCAATTTTGCTCCTTACCTTTCGCAGAAGCTTATCATGACAACGCAGAAGTTCAAAGAAAAGTTCTAGCAAACTTGATGGATTGATGAGATTCTTATTTCTCAGCAAGATCAAAGCTTTGCAAAATGTCTAAGGAAGAAAAAAGAAAACATACTACTATACGATGATGATGAAATTAAGATGAGAAAAGGGAGTATGTATATCCTAAAAGAGTGTGGTATCTTCTACTAATTAGGCACTATTCTGTGCATGAAAACAGAAAGTCATTCTCTGTCATCGCGAACCTTACATGGGAGTGGGGTGGAAGAGGGGATAGAGGAGCAAGGAAGCATGTAAACAGGGTATCTCAGACATTGAAATATATCATGAAGAAAGTAAAACAGGGTAATATAATTGATACACAGTGACTGAGGGAGGGCTACTTTACATATGGAGGCCAAGTGTCTCAAGAAAGTACAAACTCCTACTGTGCACAATGAATGCACAAAGATAAGAAAGGTGAGGTAACAAGAACAGAACTGAAATCATCAATTTGAATTTGTGACCTTATAAGGCATTCCTTAGCAGTAGTGTTAGTACCATCAATCACCTAACAGCATTTGTAGCACTCCTGCTTACACCAACTTTCATGAGTACCCATATCACCCAAGGTTTGGCTTCTACTACCATTCTCCATTAATGGAACAGGTAATTCTTGGAGAATAGATGATTCTCAAGTCTTGGGGCACAAAAAGCAGTAAAAATGGTTTTGGAACTATTCCGCCAGAATGTAAGGATCTTTCAAAAATATAAGGAAGGGGCTTTGCCAAAAGGACTGAGAAGCTCCCACTGGCCAAATGATAACAATTTGAACAAAAAATAATAAATAATGCTTTAAAAAAAGAAATGAATAAAAAGGACTTAGGTACGTGATACAGTTGGTTAAATGTCTAACTCCTGGTTTTGGCATAGGTCGTGATCTTAGGGTGGTGAGATTGAGCCATGTGTTGGGCTCCATGGTCAGCACGGAGTCTGCTTACAATTTTTCTTTCCATCCCCTCTGCAAGCTCTCTCTCTCTCTCAAATAAATAAATCTCTCTCTCTCTCTTTTTAAAAGATTTTACTTATTTATTCATGAGAGAGACACAGAGAGAGGCAGAGACATAGGCAGAGGGAGAAGCAGGCTGCCTACTGGGAGCCTGATGTGGGACTTGATCCCAGGACCCTGGGATCACAACCTGAGCCAAAGGCAGATGCTCAATCATTATGCCACTCAGGTGCCCCTCAAATAAATAAATCTTTAAAAAAAAAAAAAAAAGACATAAAAAGGTTACAATGTTAAAGAAAGAGAAACACAAGAAAATCAATTTTATTGATTTCATTAAAGTAACAGTTAACCTATATAGGTATTTTGTTTCTTCCATTAAGAAACACAGTCTGTTCTATCTGTGTTAAGCAGGAAAAACTTGGGAATGATTCAAAAACTCCTGGGAAAATAATAAATACACTAAGCAGAAAGTCCAGCAGTTGTTAAGGACTAGTGGTTATCACAATTGCCAATTAAAAAGAGGAATGTTAATTACACAGACTCAATCCCTTGTTTCCCAGCAAAGGAAATATCCATTAATTATTTTTAAAAACCTATTAATCATCATTAAAAAATCATATAAAGAAACATACACTCAATTATTTATTTAACAATGCATGCAGGGATGCCTGAGTGGCTCAGTGGTTGAGTCTCTGCCTTTGGCTTGGGGTGTGATCCCAGGGTCCAGGGATCAAGTCCTGCATCAGGCTTTTGGACCTCTGGGTTAGTCAGGTACCACTATTTGGCTGGGAGGACAACCTTTTAGGTGCTAGGGCTCTAGCAGAGGGAGAGAGACAAGCAGAATCGCCGCTGAAAAGGGGCTCCATCCCAGGACCCTGAGATCATGACTTGAGCTAAAGGCAGGCATTTAACCAACTGAGCTACCCAGGCGCCTCTAAAAATAAAATCTTCAAATACTGGAAAGAAGTAGATCACGTAGGGACTTATAGGCCATGTTAATAAGTTTGAGTTTTACTCTAAATATAAATAGAAGCCACGGAAAGATTTTAAGGACAGGTGACACATTCTCATTTACATTCTAAGAAGATATTTAGCTGAGGCTGTTCTCACATAAACACAGCACAATATATCAATCCAAATACTGAACCTACCATTCGAAGATCTGGATCCAAGACAGTGTGATTGTAGGAGAGAAGATCTTTCAGCTCTTGGGGAAAGTTACTTAAATGTTCTGGGTAGCAGTGACCAATCTGTAACAAAGCAAAGGTTCTTCTGAAGTTTCTCTTTCTCTCCTATAACTCATATGCACATATATATGATGTTCTGCAAAAGGAGAGTAAAAGCCTGTTTGATAGAAATAGATGGTTTCAAATAATTTCTTTTTATTCTACATGCTAATTTCTCTGACCATGATTTAGAATCTGCTCTTATAATGAATTTGAAAAAGAACCAAACAATCTGAAAGTTTTGCTTCAGTTAGTTCTGCAAAAAGCTCCAGTGAAATCTAATTCAGCTCAGGGAGAAAATAAAATTTGCAAAAAAGAGGAAACTTAAAAAAAAAATTTAAATTACGTTTCCATTCCTGAATGGAATAATATTGGGTATTACTGGAAAAATATTCTGCAAACTGTATGAAACAATTTTTCATTGTTTTTGTTTTACTCAGAAATCATCTTACCTGTGCCATAAACATCACTAGCTCTGCCAGTTCTTTGCTAGGTTTATTTGGTTGTAATTTAAAAATCTCCACATTGGATTCGTAGTGATTATACTGCTGTAGAAACTGTAGAAAAATAAAATTTAAGTCGGTCACATTCTATTATATGACTTTCTCAGTAAAGAACAAGAAATTACTTAGTATACATCTCTGATAGTCGCATGGAAAAGGGGAATTGGCAAAAGTGTGTAGAAACATCTTTCCTTTACCTGCATTCTTCAAAAGAAGTTTTGAAAAACGTGGACACATCATTGGTAATCTAAAGACCCATTCCTTTATCATTAGAAATGTAGGTGGTATGGTATAAGGAACGTTAAGAAAAGAGTCAAAAACTCAGATTCAGTATATAGAGCACTCACAGCAGCAGAAAAATATAGGTCAGAAAAAGAAAATATCACAACTATGTAAAACTCTCCAGTCAAAATTACCCTCTTCCTTTAAATAATGATTAAGATTTTATCCTGGAGTTCTAGATAGGATGTATCAGCAGCCAAAAGCAACAGACAGCAATAACGATAATAGCTTACACTTATTTAGCACTTACTGTATGTTTAAGTCATTACATACATTATTTCACTTATATTTAATTCTAACAACAACCCAACGATCTAATGTTGGAACTCACCAGGCCTCAGTTCCATGCCCTACATCCACTCTCCAGCCCTAGACCACAGCTTTAAATTGTGAGAGAGAGACACTAGGGGAGTATTATTTTTAAATATTTATTTACTTACTTTTAGAGAGAGTCAGAGAGACCATGGGGGGGGGGGATAGTGCGGGTGGGTGGGAGGCAGGGTGGGCAGAGGGAGGAGAGTCCTCAAGCAGACTCCCCTCTGAAAGGGGAGCCCTGGCAGGGCTCCAACCCAGGATTCTGCAATCATGACCTGAGCTGAAATCAAGAGTCAGAGGCTTAACTGAGCCACCTAGGCACCCTGAGAATCAGTATTTCTTTATGTTAGCAGTCCTAAGTGGTCCTAAGTGCGCTCCAAATTCATGTCTTCAATGCCTTGTATCTGTGTTTAGTTATCTAATAGACATTTTAAACTTAGCATGGTCAAAAAACAACTCCAACAAAACTCTTAGGCCTCCAGCTTTCTCCAAGAGCGTCAAGAAAAAGACCTACAACTCCTACACGCTTCAGCTAAGACCCTGCTTTCTTGACTCACACTACCATTGGCAGGAATGAGGAGAGGGCCCTGGATCTGGGTGGCAAGTTCCTTATCTCACTTCTTCCCCATCTTATTCATGGTTCAGCCACAACTATCTGTCTTGAGATGATGAGTACTTGTGCCACTAAGCCCCTTGTGTTCATCAGTCACCACAAACGTCCAGGACTCCCAGGCCATCCCTCATTTCCCTCTCTCTAACCCCCGGACCAAGGAAATCAAGAACTCTTGGGTGGGGCGAGGGCATCACACTTTTTAAAGTAGCCCAGTCATTCCGATGCTCTCTGGAAAACTGTTTCTCTCCTGACGCACTGCTGTCTCGTTTTCTTCCGCCCAGGAAGCGCCCTCTTTGTTCCCTGTGCTACTGACAGAGCACAGGCATCCCTCCAGATGGGCACCTTCTCCAGCTCCGTAACTGCCCCCCCTGCCCGCTTGCAATCTCAGGCCTGGAGGTCCGTTTCCGGCTCTTGGAAACAGGCGCCAACGGAAGGCATTCATTCTAACGCAAGCTCCTCAAGTGTTACCGACTGATTCAACTTCGGGGTTTCTGAAAGCAAAAGGCTGAAAAATCTGCGTCAAGTTGGAGTTTGGGGAGAAGCCATTTGTCTCTCCGCCTCTATGAGGTCGGGAGATAAACCCTAAAGCAAAACAATAAGAAATAATACATGTATATTTTTATATTTTTTATAAAAACAAAAATAAATATATATATTTATTTTTATTTTATATATATTTATTTTTATTTTATTTTTATTTTATAAAAATATAAAACAATAAAAAAATAATATATGTATATTTTTATATTTTTTATAAAAGTAAATAAATATATATATATAATCTTTCTTTAAGGGTCTTTCCGAGGCAGCCGGGACTACCATGTAGTTCAGAAAATCCAAATGGCACTAAGTTTCCATGAGGTGGGGAACCAACTCCAGGACACGTCCCTTCCTCAACCTCTTCGCTCCTCCCTAGGGACACCTGAACCTAACCGGAAAATCTGCCAGGATCCCTGCTCCACTCCACTCCCCCCCAGCCTCTCGCCGCGCCGCGCCGCACTCCCACTCCCACCTCCTCGACGTAAGCTGGCGGATCTCGCTTGATCAGATTCTGTAACTGTGGCAGGTTGCTGGGCAGCTTGTTATTGTTTCTGTTAGACATGTTGGTTGCGGAGTCGCTCGCAAGAAGCGGTCTGAAGAAGCACCTCACCGCTAGCAACCGCCAGCAGCGTCGGCTACGGGTGGGACTCGTCCTTCCGAGAGCGACCGGAAACAGCACAAGGGAAGCTCAGCAGGCGGCGCCATCTTGTCTCCTGCAGGGCGGGGGGGAGCGGGATTACGGGAGCCTGAGAGTGTCAAATTTCTCCCACTGCCGAAATGTTCAACAAGGGTTTACACGAGGTTTGTTTTGTTTTCCCTCTCTGGCAATCGTTGCTCTACCTAGCGTTTCTGAAATCTGAAATGCAATTTTTTTCCCACACATATTAGTTTTCTCATTATTCTGACACTCCTATGAAACAGATAAGGATTATTATATTTTTTAAATCCCACAGCCTAAGAGCAGAAACTTTTTCCTTTGGGAGTGGATAGCATTATGCTATTTTAGAGTGGGGGCGGGGGAAGAGCGATGAGGTGCGTAAGTTACTTTTTTACTATAGCTTTATTTTTTTTTTAAGATTTTATTTATTTATTTATTTATTCATGAGAGACACAGAGAGAGAGAGGCAGAGACACAGGCAGAGGGAGGAGCAGGCTCCACGCCGGAATCCCAATGTGGGACTCGATCCCGGGACCCCGGATCACGCTGAGCCACCCAGGCGTCCCTTGCTATAACTTTAACTGCCATTTGTTTTGGTTGTTTCAACCCACCGTGACCCATACTAGGGAAAAGGTTGTGGCCTGGATAAAATATAATCATGCTGATTTAAAATGCAAATTAATTTGTATTTAAAGGACAAATTGTTAAAATCTTTTAAAGGATGTTGTTATAATCTTTTAAGTATTCTTCAGCCAGAGTTTTAAAATCAGATGCGGGTTATTCGAAAAGCAAGTGTGATGAATGAATGAATGATTGAGTTAAGGTGTTGATACAAAAATATGCCTGATCACTCACTCTGCCAGGCACTGTTCCAAGCACTTAACTTGTATCAACTTATTTAATTCTCAGAAAAGCGCTCTAAATTAGGTACTATAATTATCTGCACTTTACAGAGGAGGAAATAGGCTCAGACAAATTGCCCAAATTCATAGCTGGTGTGGGAGCTGGGATTTCAGCCCAGGCAGTTTTGATTGTAACTAGATGGAAAAAAAACAAAAAAAACCCCAAAAACCTCATTGCTATCTATCATCTGGTAACTGGTCTGGCATTAATAGAGGGGCAGTGGTATTCTTCTGCTTAAGGTAAACAATTTTAGGTGCACCAGGCTGCTTAGTGGGCTAGAGCATGCTACTCTGGATCTGAGGGTTGTGAGTTTAAATCCTACATTGGTGTAGAGATTATTAAAATAAATAAATTTTAAAAAAATTTACAAAACACCAACTTCATTTCTGTCCAGGTCATCACAGAACTGAATAGAGTGAGCCCAAAACAAGAGAACTCTATAATCACCTGAGCACAAACAAAATCAAGAATGTTGTGCAAACCACCATTATTTTTCAGCTATGTTTGGACAATATTTTTTTCTCTTTTTAAAGCATATTCGGAGGGCCATCTGGCTGGCTAAGTCTGTAGAGCTGGGGATTCTTGATCTCAGGGTCATGAGTTCAAGGCCCACCTTGGATGTAGAGATGGCTTAAATGAGTAAATAAGTTTTTTAAAAAGCCCATTCATAGATTTAGATTAAAAAACGTTTTTGATTAGGTTGTACTAGGAAAAGTATCCTAAAAATGAAATATATTGAAAAAAATTTGAAATTATTTAATAGAATTCCTATCAAAATCATAAACTTATGTACTATGACTCTTTAATTACAAAAATATGACAAGAATAGAACACTCAGGTCATGTCACAAACTTTTGTTTGCCATCTATATGTCAGGCACTAGGGTAGGTACAAGGAATACAAAGATAAATGAAGCATGGGCATTTGTCCTCAGGGTAGTCATAGACTGAAAAGGGAGACAAATAGACAAGCGTTTTTAAAATGAATAAAAATGTTCTTACAGTAGAGTAGTGGAAGCCATGGAAAGGACAACCCAGTCTAGAGGAACCAGAATGTTTCATAGTTATGGTACTAGTTGGTTGAAATCCTGAAAGATGAAGAGTTTTTCTGGAGGAAGGAAAGAAAGGCTTTCTACATTAAAAAAGAAGAAAAAGAAAGAAAGAAAGAAAGAAAGAAAGAAAGAAAGAAAGAAAGAAAGAAAGAAAGAAAGGAAGGAAGGAAGGAAGGAAGGAAGGAAGGAAGGAAGGAAGGAAGGAAGGAAGAAAGAAAGAAAGAAAGAAAGAAAGAAAGAAAGAAAGAAAGAAAGAAAGAAAGAAAGAAAAGAAAAGAAAAGCCTGTATAGAGGTACAAAGGCTTGAAAAAATCTGGTGGATTTAAGGGATAGCTAGAAGTTTGGTGTGATTAAATGTTAGGAGGAGAGTAATACAGCAGGGAAGGAGATGAGGAAAGTGAGTCAGCTGAGGTTATGATATCCTAATGATGAAAAGCTTTCTGTGCTCATCTAAGGAGGGCATATAAGTTTATGAGAAAACTAAGGCTGAGAATGACTAACTGAATATGTATTTTTAAAATATTAAACAATGGCTATATTGTATGTAACATAATCTGCATATGTTTAATGTATATGAACCAGATTAACATCAAGAAAACTCTAGGAATGCCTGGTTGGCTCAGGTTGTGATCCCAGGGTCCTGGGATGGAGTCCCACATTGGGCTCCCTGTGTGGAGCCTGCTTCTCCCTTTGCCTGTGTCTCTCCCTCTCTCTGTGTGTCTCTCATGAATAAATGAATAAATAATATTTTTTAAAAAAGAAAACTCCATATTCATTTCTATATTTAGTCTTGAATTGGCAAAGGAACTTTCCATCTTTTTCTGATCCCAGATAACTTTTAACTTGAAATGAATTATTCTAGGAAAGAAAATCTCCTTAATACCTTTGCAGAAGAGACCCTATAGTAATTATAAAATGGATCAAATCATCTGGATTCAAATGGAATAAGTATCTCTTTATTAAAGGCACCAAGACTGGGGGCTGGTTTGTTTTGATTGCATTAGAAGCACACTCTTCTTATATTTTTATTTGGGGCGCCTTTTGGGTGGGGTGGGTTATGATAGTCCAGACAGCAGTTTGAACACATCTTGAGCCATTAAATCTCTATTACAAACAGTAGGAGGAAAGAGGGTGTGGAAGCGCAAATGGGTTCACCTCCCAGCTGAATTAGCTTTATAGAAGTTCCAAACAATGTAATACTAATACATTTATCTTCTTGGTCAGTGAGATGGGTAGTCCTACCAAGGAGTGTTTTGGCTGGGTACAATGAAGCTTTGAGAGATTAGGAAGGAGATATTAAAGGAAGGAGATAAAGGAAGGAGAGATTATGGTTGTTTTGAGAAGTAAGGAAAAGTTTCATGAAGATGGGTGTACTTGAGATAGGTCTTGAAAGCTGTATAAAGTTTTGATATGCTGGGGGGATGATATATAGAGAACAAAGAAACTAACTCAAATTGAGACAGGTAGTAATTCCATAAGAATTATTAGTATCATCTGTGTAAAAGAGCTTTGTGGTATTCCTTAGGGAATATATCCTTGTAAAATGAGAGTATTGAACAAAGCCATTCTCATTCCAACCTCATACTATTACATTGTCATATGGAGGTGTGATCTATATGATGATCAATTGAAATTTTCCATTGAATTGATGCTAAATATACTCTATTCACTGATACAAAACAATAATATCTGGGGATGATGGGTTTCATGTGGTGGTGATATTTCTTTGAGCCCATCTAAGGTCAATACCTCTGCTTCCACATGAGATCCCATCCTTTATTTTTTTGTGATCATGTATTTATTTTCCAGATTTATTAAGATGTGATGTGATTAGTGTATGAGAAATTGGCCATAAAGTGTGCAATTTCATCAGTTTTGATGTGTGTGTATGCATCCACAAAACCATTATTACCATCAAGATAATGAAGATATCCCCAAGTTTCCTTGGCCTCCACCATCCCCAGACAAACATGCTGTTGCTTTCTGTCACCGTAGATAAGATTGCATTTGCAGAAATTTTATGCAAATGGAATCCTACGTTCTTCTTTTTTTAAGATTTTATTTATTTACTTGAGCGAAAGAGCAGAAGCGGGAGAGGGGCAGAGGGAGAAGCAGACTCCCTACTGAGCAAGGAACCCGATGGGGGCTCAATCACAGGACTTTGGGATCATGACCTGAGTCAAAGGCAGACGCTTAACTAACTGAGCCACCCTTTATTCTTTTGTGTCAGACTTCTTTCATTTAGCATAATAATTTTGAAATGCATCCATGTTGTGTGTGTATATTAATAATTCATTCCTTTTATTCTTGAGTAACATTTAATCATATGACTATAATGCAATTTATTTGTCCACTTACCTATTGACTATTTGAATTGTTCTCAGTTTTTGGCTATCAGTATTTCTGTTCAAGTCTTTATGTGGACATACATTTTCATTTCTCTTGATAAATGCCTAGGAGTGGATGGCTGGATGATATGATAGGTTTTATTTAACTTTTTAAGAAACTGCCAACCATCCTTTGCTTCCACCATTCCACTAAAACTTTTTATCAAGATCACCAATCACCTTGTTGTTGCTAAATTCAATGGTCAGTGTCATTCTTTATCTTAGGTGCAGTATTGGATACAGTTGGTCTCTCACTCCTTCTGGAAACAAGTTTGGTAACTGGCCTTTGACAGCTTTGACTCTGCTTCTTCCCTAGCCCCTTATTATGTATGTTCTTATAGTGGTGGTCAGAGGGATCTGGTTGCTCCTTCAACTTCTCTCCTCACTTAGATAGATAGATAGATAGATAGATAGATAGATAGATAGATAGATAGATAGATTATTTATTTATTTATTTATTTATTTATTTATTTATTTATTTATTTATTTCATGAGAGAGAGAGAGAGGCAGAGACACAGGCAGAGGGAGAAGCAGGCTCCATGCGGGAAGCCCAACGTGGGACTCCATCCCAGGACTCTAGGATCATGCCCTCACCTTTAAAGCTAATGTCCTCCAGTGGCAGAGGAGGCCATACATAATCTGATCCCAAGCTTCTTTCTCCTCTCCCATCACACTCCCTTTTGTCCAGTCAGCCCCAGGCAAAATAGCCT